TTCGATCCCTTCAACGTATGGCTATATAACACTCAAATTGAAGGAATTTTGGAGTAGATCACAATTATGGTATTATTTTTCAGATTTGTACCTCAGAAAATTCAAAATGGCTGCTTTGAAGGAATTCGCAATTCTAAAATCTAAATTTTTCAATTTTAACCAAAGTAATGAGTATAATTGATTGGAATTCGGTAATTGATATTTTGTTCGTTGGGATTTGCTACTCCGCGGAGTTGCCATCATCTAGTTTTTACAGTTTTAAAATGACTTAATTTTTGAAAAATATTACTTTCCCCTGGTAAATTTTGACGCTATTAAATTTAGCGATTTTTCAAAATTGCAATTTCGCGGCTATTTAATTTCGCGGATTTGAGTTGATGACATCAAGTGAATTCAAACCACCATCAATGCGCATCTGGCTATTTTAGCCCATTCAGAATCCAAATAATATTTGTATTTTCCACGTTTAGGGCATTTATTTGAATATTCTTGAATGGCTTTTTCAACTTCAATTTGTAGGATATCATTGTCGTCAACATTTCAACATTTTAGGTCTTTTTTGAATCATCGCCCAACAACACTGGACAAAACGTTTTACACTGAACGAAACATATCAAAAGTCCCGGGTCAAATCCCCAGGGATTTAAAAGACAAATTTCGCGACGATAAATGTTCGCGATTTTACTACATTCACGAACAAAGCGAAATTAAATCGCACGTGAACAATACCCGGAGTCCAGTATACAGGGAGTCAATTTGAAATGGCCTGGTTTCATTGAAAGAACTAACTTCAGTTTAAAGAGTGAAGATAAAAGCAAAATCAAACGATTGAAAAGGGTATTTAATTCATGTTATATAATTTAGAGAACAACCTATACTTATATTTCAACTTGGTCAGACATCATAATAATTAAATACTTAGTACAATTTCTCATGATTCTCAAAAGTCTACATATAATTAACCAATGGGGTTTCCTCAATTCCCATCTGGTTCATCTTTTAGATACTGCATTGTTCAATGTCTGTCTTGTTCCGGATCTAGGAAGGTTAACATACAGCCCAACCCAGCAAAAATATAAACAAATCTAAAATGTGGTTAAGGTTGATAATATGATAAAATGGAAACAGGCAAAATAGCAAGAAATGGTAGTCCTCATTCAGACCCCCAGATTGCATTACCACCTTAGACATTTAACATTATACATATGTAGTAAGTTTATGCTTGAAAATCATTTGATGATTTACAGAAATTCAGAGAACACATTTACCTAAAACATGTATGATTCTATCCAATATATTATTGCAGAGCTGCATATTTTATCACTTATGGGTTGTAGCCTCATAGAAGGATATAATAGTGTAGACTGTTACCATCTTAGCTCAATGAAATTATCCAAAATTGCCCTTTCTTCAACTGAGAAACCCATGACCCAGAAGTGTGCCAAGGATGCTTTCAAGAATTTAGAATGCAGGAATGATCTTTTATTTGTTTTACGCCTTCCAAAGGCTGTAAAAGCCCATTGTTTTATTAACGTCACAAGATTAAGTGAAATAAGTCTGCAAGGAGCAAGATTTAGCAAAGGAAATTGCCTGAAGTTTACTATGACCTGCTATTACTCCCCTTGTCGAATTTTATGATGAAATCTGGATAAGAAAATAGCGAGGGGCGCAATCAGTAGATGATTAGGTTGGGGGTATTTATTATTCTATGATTAATTTTGATATGCGTAGAATCTCTTTTCAAGAGGAATCTATCAAAATTCAAAGTGGCTACTTATTTTGTAAAATAAATGTCGATATATTTCTTCCAAAATGAGATGCTACAAATGCCTGGTTATGAAATCTTAGGAAATGCTTTGAGAAAATAATTCTTTTGTATGAGTTTCTATTCTGTTATAGTTATCTCTTTCTAGTTGCGTGTACTATCTGTTGTACGATTTATAATAACTGCTTCAATAATACTGCAAGTGAAGGATGCAAGAAATGATATTTAAATCAAGAATTATTTTGTTCTCTTTTCCAAAAACAAATTATAAAATGAGAATCAGATATCCAGCCATTTTACAAAAAGGATATGTCTTCCCAAAACATCTACTGATTCGTCCCTAAGATCATGAAATATGTTAGTAATTCTCCTGTGATATTGTACAATGATGAGTAACATCTGTTTTTACTTGCTTCAAGTCCAGAGTCTGGAGTGTGTTTTTTACTGTTTTTGATGTAAGAACAGAAAAGTTGAACCTATAGTACAAAAGTCCATACACTGTTCCCATTATATTAAGTAACACGTTTAGAGGAACAATGCCATTGCATTATTGATGCATTAAGTCAGGTGTAGTTGTTAATGAATTAAGGGGGAGGACCTGGGAGGAAGTAAACCCGTATTTTTATTTTAATAAAAAAAAATTGCACAGAAGGGGGGGGTCAATCTGATGTGATTTATTACGTTTTGAAACAACACCTAATTAATGACCTGGTCCCTTATAGTCTGTTAATCTTGAAAAACTTTTAAGGTCATTCTGAAATTCATAGCATCTCTCTTACAGTGCATTGCACAGAAGGACAGAGATGGAGAAGGCGTGGCTTACCACTATGGTTAAAGGAGTACAGGTTGATTTGACTTCTGGGACAACATGTATATGAGTCATTTAATAATTATTTATTCAGTATAGAGATACAGGCATCAATAGAATGCAAAACCACAATTGATAGGACCTGGATTTGTTATGCTGATCTCATCTCCAGGGCTTTTTGTTAACAGCACTATTTATAAAAAACCTTAATTGAAATACTATAATGTAATGCTTATTGTATTCAATGTGTGAGTGATAGCTAAACTAGGTGGTAGGTATTCATCATACTTTCAGTATTTACTGCTTGAGATAGTAAATCTTTTATGTTTTTGACTACCTACATTGACATAAATAAGGAAGCAAATATGAAATTGAATTAGATATAGAGAATATATATTGCAAAATGTAACCTCAATTTCCTTCAGATAAATTATTCACTGTAGATGTAAACAATCATAAAAGGATGTTAAGTACATATGTACTGAAGGTCTACCTGAACTGCCTGCTCGCAGCTCAGCTTATTTTTACCTGAACTACCTGCTCGCAGCTCAGTATTTTACCTTCCATCTCCAAAACAGTGAAGTGCCTCATCTCAAGTCTATCCAAAATTATTCAGTGCCTGTACATTCTATTTATTGCCAATCATTCCCATCTTCGTAATAATTTTGCTTGAAATTTGACCAGAATTTATTGATGAACGCCTAATTGGAGAATCTACTTGGTAAATGACTCACATATTCCTTCCAGTGTCACTTTGACATATTGTGTTTAAAATCCATGAGGGACTAAACAAATAGGATATTTTTGCTCAGATCACAGCTTCAAACAAACCATTATTATCACACACCCATGAGAGAGCATTGATCACACATTCACAAAGCGCTTATGTTTTTCAGTCACAAATATGTATTTACAAACTTAGGAGTCAAAACAGAAATCAGAATATAAACTGGCAAGAAACGAGTTGATAGAAATACCTAGAAATCAGACAGAAATTGAAACCTTTATGAAATATGATGCAGACTGAGTGAGAGAATCAACGAAAAATTATGTCAGGTTAAGAATTCTGCTGAGGTTACTGTGATTCAATTAGGAGCTAGATAGATAATAATTAAATAATAATAAAAAAGACAAGATTATACTAAAAGGTGTTTATACAAATACATAATAGAATTCTGGACCAAATAAAGAAAGATGTCATTAGGATTAAGAGGCATTTTGGTGAGGGGAAATTGACACAATTTTGATCAATTTTCTGATCAATACTCAAGGATCAGTGATGACTGAAATAACAGTTGTTGAGACAATGGATAATTCAGACCATAAGCCAGGTAGGATACATGCTGTAGATTCACTTTCTAGAATAGAGACTATATGGGGACATAACTAACTAATACAAACAGGGCATTTGACAAGATTTGTTGATGTTGAAAATTTCAAAATTATATTCTTCCCTTTTAAAAATCTGTTAACCATGTAAAGATGAAAATCTGGGGAAATCAGTAGTTAAGTAAGTTTATGTTTTCTTTATTTCATGATAATACAGGTACAGTGTTGTCTGAGATGGGGTTTCTTTAAAATGGAGGGGGGGGGTTGGTAAGATGGAGACAAGGTCTATGTTGTGATGTCTCAAATGTAATTTTGTATTGTGTTGGTTGGAGGTAAATTGATTTTGTTGACAGCATACATTGCTTTTTATTTAAAAGATGCAACTATTATTATTAGAAAGTCTAGCAAACCTCAATAATTTTTACTTTAATGGGGTATTTATCTGAAATAAATATCTTTAATATTTTTTGTGGTTTCTCATCAGTATATTGAGTAGTAGACATATTCCCTCACCAGACTGTATTTACATATTTCTCAGTCACAAAGGGCAAGTGGTGAAACAGTTCTAACCACAGATGTATTATGTAGACAGGTGACAATATACAAAACATACTGATCTCATGAACTCCTTTCTTTGTGATACAGATCATTTTACATCCACCTCCATCAACTAGATCACATACTGCAAAACTTTAATTTTAAACCTTTTTTCTGAGGAAGTCTTAAAAAGATCAATGTTTGATATTAGTAGTAATTTGTGGAGGGTTTTAGACTATATTATAATTTCAGCATCTAGGAAACAGCAGATACAATTGAATATAGGTAATGATGGGATGATAGAATTTTGAGTAAGGTTGCAAATATGTCGGCTGGGTGATAATTGACACGTAATTGAAAAAATAAATACATTATCTTCTACTTCTCTTAGCAGCTGGATGTGTTATTAGGTCCATTCCCTATCAATGACAAAATGATTTATGGTTGTATGTATTGTAATGTTGTATAATGTATATCAGTAAAAATGTTGAATTGCAGTATGTGTCTTTTTTCAGCTGTGGGAGAATAATTTGCCATTTTAAAACAATTGTATATTTTCAGCTCAATACACGCCTGTGAAGCGGCACCACTCAACGGGGGATATGCTAGTATCTGACATTGACTTTGAGTCCTTGTCTCCCTTTGGTAAACCTACAAGGCCCAAATCAGAGGGATGCTTCTTTGTTGAGGGATTCACTCCAAAACGAGCCTCAAGCTTTGGGGTAAGTCATCAAAAACAAAAGTTATCAAAAAATGAATCAATAGAAATTAAAAAAAATTTCATTAAATTGTTTAATGAAAATATTTAATCAGTCTAGTCTTTTTTCCTCTGCAATCCTGTTATATTCACAAATATTCTCAGAATCATAGAAAAAATAGGTTAGATAAAATGCTCTTTGTGTAAATAGAGAATTTCATTACAGAAACATGTCTTAGAATTTCACTATACCTGCTATACTGTGTATATGTATGTAGTAAACCTGTCATAATTCTGCCTGTTTTTAGTTCAATTCACCATTTGGGAAGATTGATGCTTATGAGAAGCTAGAACAACTAGGGGAAGGATCATATGCAACAGTCTTCAAAGGAAAAAGCCAGTAAGTGCTAGCAAAGCTTCTTGAGATACTAGGGACTATTTCAATCATAAGTGAAAGTGTAACATGTTTATGCGTTACGCATAATAGCTAGAGCTATACATCACAAGTATAAGTGAATTGAAATTTTCTCAAAAAGTACTTATATGGATAGACAAGAAGATATGTATATTTTATCGATCAGTTCTCATTTTCTTTCACCGAGAATGAAGTTGTCTTTGATTCACGATGATTCCCTTTGTAAACATGCACTACGAAATATCTCTGCTCTCTGGGAAATATTGTTTTACCTGTGTAAGCTGTTGTGGCTACGAATGTACTTCAAGAAGCAAAAAATTCCCTACACAGTCCAGTTTTTAGATTTTTACGTATCATCTGAATGAAAGAGGTAAACATTCAAATGCTGATTTGTGTTTGACCTTGACCTTGTAGAATCATCATATTATTTATAATCTTTGTGATTTTGAGGATTTTTCTCATTAAAATAACATTTTTGTAAAATGATTTTCTGTTTCAGTTTAAATAACAAGGTAGTTGCTTTAAAGGAAATACGCTTAAACAATGAAGAGGGTGCACCATTCACAGCAATACGAGAAGGTAAACATTGATTATTTAATATATAATAATTTTCAAAAATATACTTAATTGTATGTTTTAAATGTTAAAATGAAGCTAGTATTTGAGAGTTTTGTCCCTCATATTCAACTGTTCACTCATAAAAATGAATGAATGAATGAATTAATACATCCATCGACTTATCTGTTTTGATGATAACTTCAAATACTGAAGAGCTGAATTTGTTCATATTTGGTGTGCTAAATGGTTGAATGTTTTTTTTTCAGCTTCTCTACTGAAAGGTTTGAAGCATGCCAACATAGTGACTCTACACGACATAATACACACTAAAGATACACTGACCTTTGTATTTGAATATGTAGTGAGTATCTGAATATCTTGAATATGATGGTGGTTATTTGGATATAGTGGTTTCTATTTAGATAGTAGTGTTTATGTGATTATTTGAAAAATTTAGATGATTTGAATATAAATAAGTGATTATTATTCGAATATTGTAGTGTTTTGATACATGAAGATTTTTTGACAACACCCTGTTAAATCTTGTGTCAAGGGCTGTGCTAAGTCATTCTGCCCTGGTAGGAATTGAATCCTCAGCCTTTCGATTTAGGCCAAAATAAATTGTTGACGTATGAAAATTGAGAATTCAAGTCACCAATGAAACTTGATTCTATGGAGAAATTCACACTAGAATTTCTAAATTAGTTCATTTCCTCAGAAAATGTTGAGATAATTATGAGATTATCCAAAAACATCTGGCCCAGATAATATTGAAAACAAATTGATGTCCCTGTCACTTTCACATAAACCAGTTGAGCTTTTCTTTACAATTTAATGTTTTCAGTTTAAAGGAAAGAAACTATCACTCTATTCATCTTTAGATAAACAAACAAAATATTAATCAAATTTTTTTCAATTTTATTTTATTCATAAATGTATATTAATATACCTCCTAGATATGTTCTTCTTTGAGCACTAGGCAGCATCTTTCATAATTAATTTTGAAAAATGAGAAATTGGAGCTGAAATTTTTAAACGATGTGCCATTTTATGAAAATCAGTCTGATTAGTTTTTGGGTTTGCTGAGTAAATGACTGATTCGGTTTTTTATGTCACACCAAAAAGTGGTGACATATTGTTATGGTCTCCATTTTTGAGATGGTCAATGGCGGTTGGTGGTTGGTGATTGGCATCTGTAACAAATTCTCACAACTTCCAGTAACTTAACAAATACTGTTTAGACTGACAAATCTTCTCAAGGTCAAAAAAGGTTAAAAAAGGCCTTCAATGACCTTCTCAAGGTCAAAAAAATTGACCTTCAATGACCTTCTCAAGGTCAAAAATGTATTTTTTCAACTTTTTTTCAAAATCATCAAGTTCTTAGAATGTCAAATCTGACTTAAGATTTAAAATTTGACCTTCAATGACTTTCTAAAGGTCAAAAGGGTCAAAAAGGTATTTTCTCAACTTGCTTTAAATTGACCAATTTTTCTATTAAATCATTTACAAGTTATCAAAAGTTCAAATCTGACTATAGATTTGAGATTTGACCTTTAATGAGCTTCTCAAGGTAAAACAGATTCATAATATTGTGAGCAACTAAGTGGTGATATTTTGTCATGTTAATGCCATGTTCATTAGCACAATCTTGTTTGTAGATAATATTGTATATGGTGGTTTGATCCCACTCACAATATGCCTTGTTATATTTTTTAGCATACAGATCTGAGCCAATACTTGGAGAAACACAAAGGAGGACTAACTCCCCATAATGTTAAAGTGAGATATTTCACAATACTTTAATCACTAGAAAGTGCGATATTGCTTCCATTAAAGCATCTTATATTATTACATCAAAATTATTGTAATGTTTCATGATCAGAATGAATACATTGCCTGTAGCTAGAGCAGGAAGTGCTCAAACTGTACTGATTTCATGACTCGCCAATATTGTATTGTTGAAAATGGCTATGATAATTCTGTCATGCTTAATTTTCTTTTGCACTACATTTGGCAATTTATCATGTGTTCTGGGTACTGCAACTTTAGCATATTCCCTATTTGAATCATATTATAATTTTAGCTGACTGACCAAAAGAAACATATGCTTAGATGCTCTACAGTACATTCTAAGAATGTATTTGATATATTTTAAGATGATTAATTGCGTTTCAGTTATTTCTGTTCCAACTACTAAGGGGATTGTCCTACTGTCACCAGAGAAGGATCTTACACAGGGACCTCAAACCTCAGAATCTTCTCATTAGCCAACAAGGGGAACTAAAATTAGCAGATTTTGGTCAGTTCATATTTGTTTAGTATTAAACAAATATTAATTAGTATTTAGTATTGAAATTCATGAATTCAAAAAGTTGTTTTTCTTGTGTGTTTATCATATTAGAATCGTAACAGAGACCTCGATTTTATGATTCATGGCAAATATATGACCTCAAATTTTATTTGGTCAAATCCTCAGTTAATGAAGTTAATAAATTAGTTAATGAAAACACAGTATGAAATCCTGTGCTAAGGGCTGATGTGAAAAAGTCAGTCCACCCAAGTGGGGATCGAACCCACATAAATGCCCCATAAATCAAAAAATCTCGGTCTAGACTAAAAAAGCAAATGAATGTTTCACTCTTCTTGTGGTGAATACCTGTTATGTTTTTACAATGTGATACTTATGAGATGCACAGGTGTTCTCTTCCACATAAAGACATCTTTTTTTGTAAAGTATTCAATTTAAAGAAGTAATTTCTACTTGGGCTTGCTCAGGTATCTGTTTCTGTCATACCACTTAATTAATTAACCCCATTCCTTTATCTTCTCTGTACTCATATGTGTTATCTCAGGTCTCGCACGTGCCAAGTCTGTGCCTAGTCGTACCTACTCCCATGAAGTTGTTACATTGTGGTATAGGCCCCCAGATGTCCTGCTTGGATCTACAGACTACACCACATCTCTAGATATATGGTTAGTACTGGGTAGCCAATGGTCAGTTCTGGGTAGCCATTAATTCTCCATCATCACTTGGTCATATTATTGGGTTCCTAGATGGCAAATGCTCGTATTATAAGATTTCTAGAAGATCCATGGTCATATCTTTAAGGTTCTTTTTTTAAACATTTGCAAGCAGAGAATAATAAATAGAATCATCTGTGTGTAATAAAAGACATTTTATGACTTGAAACAAAAAATTTACTTGGAAAATCAAGGTGGGGATATATATAGGGGACAAAAACTCAAAAAGAACAGGTCCATTTAACAGACTATTGGTCCACTTAGACTTTTTCCAAAAGACTCATTCTTCCATTTACTTTTAAAACCGATTTCAAGTTGTAGATAAACCTTTGTTCTTGAGATGTGCAATTTCAAAAAGTGGCATTAGTTTTCAGTTTCTTTGAAAAATTGGCAGTAAGAACCCCTATCACAAGACTGTCTGAATATGGGTACACACTATGTTTACAATCAAAATAATATCAAAACTCTTATCATTATATAGAATTTTTTATATGGAACATATAGCATGCAAGCATTCGGAGTAAAACATTAACAAAATCCAGCTATGTATGAAGTTAACTAATGCAAATCTGGAAAACATTGTCATTTTTGTTCACTTTGTCATCAAGTTTTAGCAAGGTGCTCATTCCCTTTCATTGAAAATTTAACCATCAGCCCAAACTCCCACAAAAAAGATATTGAAACTGTATAATGCAGAGACTGTGAAGTAGCTTCCCTGCAAATATCGTTGTTGTGGGAGTGTGGGCTCACCACTAAAACTTAACTTTTGTGATGAAAATAAGGCTGACTGGTTTATGTTTTCAATATGGCTGCTAACGGGCATACATGTACAGTACATAACTGCATGTACAGATTAGGCCATTCAAAATTAATTATATGATGGCATTCTGATGAAGGGCCTTATATCATTATGTATATTAAAAACTACAAAACCTATTTATTTAAAGGGTTTTATATATTATTTATTAGTGAAAATGCAATAACACACTGTGGGAAGGCAAGTAGAACACACCTCTTGATTCAGATGACCTTGCTAATGAAGACAATACTGAAGCTAATATACAAATAGTTTTTAATCAATCTTGGAACTCATTTCACTACAATATAATCCAAGATCACAATTCCCTTTGTCATTTATATGCATTACAAGTACAGAGTCATGGAAACATTTTGTTTTTTCTGAAAACATAGAATTTTGTGACATTAATTATAAAAACATCTTTGAATGGCCTAAGTGTTTTCTAAATAGGGTATAAGTAGAGAATTTAAAGCAATCCTTTGAGTGTCATACCATTTATACATGATGCTGCCTTATATTTTATGATATATATTGAAAGAGGATTTCTCTGAATTATCTGTGTTTCAAATATGGGAACTGCAAATTGGCAAATTTCTTTAAAATTAAGTGTCAAATTCCAAAGCAAATGCCAATGGGCATTTATTAAAAGTGACCCAATAACTATTTAGAATATGGCAAACCTGTTTAGAAAACTGGTGAGAAGCAATTGAAATAAGAAAATCCATTCTCATTGAAGTGCCCTTGTGCGCATTTAATTGCAATCATGTTATCCTAATTGCCCATGGGCATTAAAACAATAATCACATCCCAATTCTGAAAACATGCTTAGGATACTGTTGGAGTCTCAAAAGGCAACAAGAACATTCATTTTTGAAACAGGAAAATTTTGTCCCTCTAAAAATCCCCATATGGGGATTTATTCTCAAGATTTTCTTGTAATTGCCCATGAGAATTTATTAAGAATATTTTTATTTCCATTCACATGTCTTATTATCAGTCACAATCAAAATTAAGCCTATTGCTTTCATTTCTTGTATTAGAAAATGGCAAAATTTTGACAAAAATAGCATCTCTCAAAGTTGACCTTTAAACCACCCTAATGTCAAGGTCAAATGTCAAAATTCTCAGAAATCACATTTTAAGTAATAAGTCATACTTCCTCTTCAATTCCATGTCAATATGTACTTGTTTTGTAGGGGGGCTAAAAGAGGTGTTTACCGCCACCTGTCCTTTGTGTTAATCAAAGCAATGAAATATAAAATGAAAGAAAGAAAAATTATCCATTTTGAATATGTAAATTTCCTATATGGGAGTTCTTCACAGTTCTATGTTGTGTGTTTTACAGGGGAGTTGGTTGTATCTTTACTGAGATGATATCAGGAGTGGCCACATTTCCTGGAATGAAAGATGCCCAAGATCAGCTAGATAGAATCTGGAGGATACTTGGAACACCAACTGAAAACACATGGGAAGGAGTCTCTAAATATCCCCACTTTAAAAAGTGTGAGTTATTTTACAGTGTGTACATACATATGTGAGGATTATATTATGGAACATTTTAGATATAGGGTATATCCTGAGGGAAATAAAGATATCTTACTTAGGCTTAGAGGGAGAAATTTTATTACTGGGAATATTGGAACGGGAAACACACAGGGAAAGATAATTCAGAAAATACCATTTATATACTGTTGTTATGTTTGGAAAATCACACTAGTCATAAGATAAACATATAATATAAATAATGTACATTTGCAGCAAGATTCCATACATACAATCGACAGTGCCTAGCACTTGCAGTACCAAAGTTAGCAAATGTTCCACATGCAGAAAATTTGGCAGAAAAGTTTTTACAGGTAAGAGTTCTTCTGTTTCCCTTAATAACTAATGACAAAAAATCGGATATTATTATGCATTTTAACCTGGTGTTTTGTAACGACAGACATTGTTTCAATTGCTATTGCCAACTGAAAATGTTGCAATTTTATGCTTTGGAAAAATCAAAGTTCAGTGTATTATCGTCTAAGTTGTTCATTTTTGTATTTTCAGCTATGTCCAAGGAGAAGAATCTCAGCCAAAGTTGCTCTACGTCACCAGTATTTCAGCGATCTTCCACATAGTGTATATTTATTGGCAGATGGTAAGTTTTCACCAACAGTTTAGTGATTTAGGGCAAAAACAAGACACTATATTATAGATAAACTATGACTCCTGGGTTTTATAAAGCAAAGCAGTGTATTATTGATAATTCATTGGACATTCTATAACTCTGATACATTATACAACTCAAGAATTATACATGTACGAGTACATGTACATTGTTCATCACATTTGATATTTCTGGTGGGATGTTTTGATTTCTGTTCGGATGCTGGTCTTAAATTTTTCTAGGTCTCTTAGCTTGGGTTTAGCATAAAAATGGTCCTTCAAATAGCCTCAGAGAAAAAAGTATGGGCCATCAAATCTGGTGAATAGGGAGGCCCTCACAATGTCTTATAGCCCCCTTATACAGAGAGGTCAGACATTCAAGAAACTGCATTGGTTGGGATTCCAGTGTAGCCTTTGTTGTGTGTATCAATTTGAGACCACTGTGTTTTCATTTGGATATCATTTGGTCTCCAGGCTAGCCTGCGTAACTCTGGAAGGTATATCCTGAATTATTTGCCAATAATTGACCTGATGTTTGTTCTGTGTTTGTTCTGTCATTGTCATCCTCAAACAACATCTTTCTCTGTGACTATTTGAATGAGTGTTTTAATGCTTATTACAAGCAAAAAGACCTAGAACACCTTAAAGGCAACATCCAAAGAGAAATCAGAAACATTCCACTGGAATCATTATCAAATGTGATGAACAATGTTGCAGTAAGGATACAGGATGTCATCAAAATATGAGGTTACATTGATTATCTGGTGTAAAAGGTAAAAGGGTTAAAGCATCAAAAAGGCAAGACTGAAATAAAAATAGTGTATTGGGAGAAAACTTTCATGTTTTGGCTACATGACCATGCAAAAAATGTCTGAAAATATTGATTGGTTTATCTGTGCCATTGACATACATTTTTTGAGACACCCTGTATATTATATATACTTTAATGATGTTAGATCAGCATAGTTTATAAATGGAGGTCCAATATGTCCAACAGGTTTTTCACCAGATATTCCCTGAACCTTTTTATGATTCTAATCATCATACTTGCATGCAATGTAATTTGAATCAAGATTCTTGATAACTTCTGTCACTGCTATTTGGTTCATGTTTTTATTTTCATTTCTGTCTGATTGAAAATTTGTAAAAGTGAATTTTAATTTGTAATAAGCTTTTGATGAATGAAATAATTATTATTATGATTTCATCTATTAAGTTCACTTGGTATCGTATTTACCATCGTAGGTTTAAATCTACTGACAAAACATTATTTCAATCATTAGAATGTAAAACCAATGAATATTAATTGCTCAATCATCTTTATTTCCAGATGCCTCAATATTTGACATTCCTTCAATACAGCTCCATCCTGAAGTTGCGGAGATACTCCGTAGCAAAAGTAGGATAAGGACAAATCCCCATGCTAGACAATTAACTCAGCCCTTACCTGCGACTTTAACACAGAATGCACAAATATCACAGATGCCTACACAAGTGTAGATACTGTAGGTCATTCAAAACTATAGTCTTGTAAACCAAATAAACAAATCAGCTTTAGAGTTCCTTGCCATATAGAAATTGTAGTCTCGTAAAAGCATATGGATTAGCCAGCTAGGAGTAAATCTGCCCTAAAGCCTTGTATAAGCATATGGGATAGCCACCTATGGCACCTAGGGTGTAAATCTGCTCCTTAGCCTTGTCAAAGCATATGGAATAGCAACCTAGGGTGTAAATCTGTTCCTAAGCCTTGTGAAAGCATATGGATTAACCAGCTAGGGAGTAAATCTGCTCCTAAGCTTAGTAAAAGCATATGGATTAAACAGCTAGGGTCCTTGTAAATGCATATGGATTATCCAGCTTGGATGTACATCTGCCCATAAGCCTTATAAAAGCATTTGGATTAGCCACCTAGGGTGTACATCTGCCCCAAAGCATTGTAAAAGCATATGGAATGGCCACCTAGGGTGTAAATCTGCCCTAAAGCCTTGTAAAAGCATATGGAATGGCCACCTAGGGTGTAAATCTGCCCTAAAGCCTTGTAAAAGCATATGGAATGGCCACCTAGGGGGTAAATCTGCCCCTAAGCATTGAAAAAGCATATGGATTAGCCAGCTAGGATGTATAATCTGCCCTAAAGCCTCGTAAAAAAATGGATTAGCCAGCTCGGAAGTCCTTATACAGTTAATAAAGTCATGAAGTCTTGTAAATATATACATGTATGTATGAATTCAGGACATTAGAGACAATTCAATATATGATTGATGCATGTTGAAAGTAGGAATGATTTTGGATGCCAACATTTTGAGAGATTTACACATGCGCATACAGGTGTTTGATTCCTGTAAATGATTTAAACATGCATAATGCAATGGGTATTAAGATTTTGTCAGCCCTCATGCATTCTTCAGTGTCCATTTGGTCCATTTAATGATCTTATAAAACACTGGCTCAATGGTCTCTCTGTATATATGGCATATATACATAATGTTTAAGTATAATAGATTCTATATCTAACTTTTGGCATGATGAATAATAACCACTTATACAGTGTAATATGGATATTATCAGAAAATATATGAATAGGAGATTTTTACTGACATTAAGAGAGAAACAACTAGAAAAGAATAAGTTATAGAGAAACGACTAACTGTAAGCCTGGAAAGCTAAAGTAAATAAAGGCATACCAGTATGATTAACACAGTGAGATACGCTTGGCCAGTGTAGTTTATGATAATGTTTATGTTCATGAGATACTTAAAAGACCACTAGTCAGGGAAACATTTTGTTATTTTTATTTTATTTAGTTAAACTCTTTATACGCACTGCTTGCCGTAAGCATTTTTTATTTATTTGTAACATATTAGTAATCGTAGTTTTACTTGATAAAGATATTTCATTTTGTATAAGTTCGTGGAGTGAAAACACGGTGCAATGTGCAGTAAGATACACTGGGATTTAAAATGAACAAATAGATGGAGCTATAATACAATGAAAATTTTTTTTAAATGAACAAATAGATGGCGCTTTAATACAATGAGCATTTTTTTAAATGAACAAATAGATAGAGCTATAATACAATGAAACATGGGTTATAGGATTTGACTGATTAACACTTTGATGACCATTTATGTTCAGATCAAATTTTCTTTCTTCTTTTCTCCTAAACTTTTCTTTTATTTTATTGATTCCAATACTTTTTTATAGTTAAACCAGGGGGTATTACTATTATAGTATTTTATACCTGCCTGGTATGAAAAACTAGGGTCACATGATATGGGACATTCTGACTTGATTTAGAAGGCAAGTCCCATCAAATGTAGCATCTTTTGGCATATATGGAACCATATTGAACACACTGTACATATATCTATTTTGTGTAATGCTCATGCATAAGCAATTACTTTTGTTATCATCGATGTATGAAAACATAAAAGGTATATTATAAAACAAATAAAATTATTATACCCTCATAATGTATGATAATTATCAAACTTTCCTCAAAATCATTCAGGTAGTTTGTCAAAAAATGTGACTGACTTTCTGTGACCTCTAAGGTGACCTTTGATCTAGGTTCAAATTTATAATCTGTTCTTTGGCCTATGACCTTGACCCCAACAACCAGATGATCAATGAATTGAAAATAAGTGAATAAATAGTCCCTTGGGCTATTTTAAACTATTTTGTACTACATCAGGGGTACCGAACATTATTTCCAATAAATGGTCTGTTCATGTGTCACCCAAAGGTGGCGCTGATAAGCAATATATAGATGAAAAAATAATTTAAAGTGATATTATTACAGTGGTTTAGATTTGTAATAAATCCTGTATAAGGGGCTAATGTAAAAGAGTCTCTTCCCTGCAGAACATATGACAGTGGAATCTCATATTTCTCATATCTCATATTTCTTTCAATAAATATTATTCTAGATGTGCATGCTACTTTAGATCTTTGATATACACCTATTTAACATGGGTTCCAAAATGTAATGTGAATTTTGCATTAAGTTACCATTATTTTTTCAATATATGCTGCTATATAGCCAATTTTCTAATGTTTACGATTGTCTTCATGCAATACAGGGTGACTCAAAAAATGTTCCCCTCTAATTTTGGAATAACCTTCTCAAATATGATGTATTTGTGATTGAGAATTAATAACCTATTGCCATTCAAAGATGGCTTTATCAAGGGTTATTGAGGGAGGTAGTCATCGTGGAATGGAATCTTGAATTCAATATGGCCACCCTTGTCAGGATTATTTAGCAATTTTAAAATTACCAAAACCAATAATATGTATAACAGTAATTGAAATGAGTAGTCATTGACTGTGTATACAAACTTACCACATCTTACCTTAAATTACCTTAAATTACCTTTTATTGTGAAACAGTTACCATTGACAACATGCTGAGGTTTACAGACTGTTATGATCCATTTAGTGTAATGAAAATCCTAAGTATATTTTAACAGAGTTCCTACTGGTTCCTACCACATGTTATAGAAGGATTTTGAATTTGGCTGAAAATGCCAAGAACTTGATTTTGAAATGTCAAAATATGTCAAAGAAGTCGTGCAGTTTTGAGGAAATGATTTCATTGCAAGATAAGTGTATTTAGTAAATGTAAATATGCTCATTAAATGTTTTGTGAATGACAGAGCTTTCTCCATGTTAAGTGTAATGTGTAGAAGGTTAGCTATGACTAAACTACAGGGTGATAAAAAATGGAAACCCTTGTGCTCTTTTCCTCATATCTTTGTCATTTTTGGAAATAACTCCCTGATATTTTACACATTTGTACATCATTCATTTCCCTACCAGCATATCATATTTCATGATGATATGACTGATAGTCACAATGTTGCAGCACTTCAAAGAACATACTTCAGTTGATTCTATTGCGCTGTATGCAAATAGTAAACCTACAAACCTCATCCAAAATGTCCTTCCCTAACTTCTACCTGTGGGGATATGGCAAAGATGGAGTGTATAAAAATGACCTCAGGACAATTTCAGACCTCAAAAGTTAAATCATTTGTGTCATTCAGGCCATACCTGCCGAGGAGTGCATTCAGGTCATTGACAACTGTGCAGGTTTGCCTATAGCATGATGATGGCCAAACTGAAACATGTTGATCAAAGTGGTGTAACATTGTGACTATCAGTCTGATGGCCATGAAATATGGTAGGGTGGTAGGAAATCAATGACAAAGATATGAGAAAAATGCAGGGTTTCCATTTTTTGACCAACCAGTAGCATGAAATTCTGTTTCCAAAAGCTGCTAGGAACCCATGTGTATAAATTGTGATTTGTGTGAATTTTACACTACATTGTTCAATAAAGTCTTAATATTTGCTAAATGTTTCTCATGTTTTGTTGTTCAAGGCTTTTTAGTATTGAAGGGATAGATTTAAGCCACATGTACTTTATAACAGTATTGCAGGTTGTCTTCATGGACATTAGACAATGTACTTTTAAAAAACTACCAAAATACAAATTCATGAATACAGTAAGGACATAAAACATAAGCTGAACATAATGTACCTCATTTACACACAGTGAGGCTATTAAGAACTGAAGGCAATGCACCTCACAATTTGCAAAGACACAGACTGACCATTATGAGCTAAACACAATGCACCTTATTTACACACAGAGGGACCATATATAACTGAACACAATGCACCTCCTAAAGACAAAGGTTGACCAATAAGAGCTGAACACAATGCACCTCCTAAAGACAAAGGTTGACCAATAAGAGCTGAACACAATGCACCTCCTAAAGACAAAGGTTGACCAATAAGAGCTGAACACAATGCACCTCAAAAAGACAAAGGTTGACCAATAAGAGCTGAACACAATGCACCTCCTAAAGACAAAGGTTGACCAATAAGAGCTGAACACAATGCACCTCATAAAGACAAAGGTTGACCAATAAGAGCTGAACACAATGCACCTCATAAAGACAAAGGTTGACCAATAAGAGCTGAACACAATGCACCTCATAAAGACAAAGGTTGACCAATAAGAGCTGAACACAATTCACCTCATAAAGACAAAGGTTGACCAATAAGAGCTGAACACAATTCACCTCATAAAGACAAAGGTTGACCAATAAGAGCTGAACACAATGCACCTCATAAAGACAAAGGTTGACCAATAAGAGCTGAACACAATTCACCTCATAAAGACAAAGGTTGACCATTAGAAGCTGGACACAATGTACCTCATAAATAAATAGTGAACAATAAGAGCTGAACACAATGCACCTCATGAAGACAAAGGTTGACCATTAGAAGCTGGACACAATGTACCTCATAAACGCATGTATCATTCATTAAAATGGACATGTTGAATGCGGGGAATGATATTTGGCAGTTTGTAATTAGAGTTGGAGTTTGTTTCTTTATAATTGGTTTCTTTTTTCTGTTACAAAGAGTTTCTTTAGTATTGTTTTATTTCCCCTTCAGCTGTTTTGTTTGCGTAGATTTTATACGACTTAGCATTGAATTCAGCTGATTTATATAACCGTAAATTCGATTTAATTAAAGCACCAAAACTAGAAGGCATCATTCCCCAAAAATCAGAATCGTTGTCTAAAACACTGCCCTATATACCTATAAACTCGGATTTCTTGTGTCAAAGAACTTATATGGAAAAGTCTGTATCAAATGTAAAAATACTTCAACGTCAATTATCCTACGCCGGCGTTGGCTTTCTTTGTGACTAATTCAATCATACGAATATTACTAAGAGTCATTTTCCCCACTTTCGACCCATTATCAATTAGTTTCCTAATGACATAAGTATTCATTTCTTTCTTAAAGCATATTTCTATGTAGTTTATGACCTTAAGCAATATTCGCCTCTTCTTTGAATAATTTTATGTTGGTAACTTGTGTGTTAAAGGGCTACTTGATGTGCAAACTTACGTTCTATAGTAGGCGCAACTCATTCCAGAAATTGAAACCGCAAATATAAGCGAGAGACAATCGAGGGCATAGTAAACGTCGAACGTGAATCAGGATTCATATCTCGTTGCGTAAATTAAAGTTAACGATTATAAACTCTGTAAGAATCCATAGAATACAAAAGGGCGGAAAATGCGTGGACAATAGATAAGATTGCGAACACCAGTCGAGGCAACAGCGACGGGTACTTCAGAACAGCAGGTCAGGTCATCGAACATTGCTATGCAGTAGTTTAGAGATGAAGTGATTACTTCTATCGACCACACATACATCATCAGAAGTTAATTCATTGACAATAAAAACTCGAGGAATCAATTGCAATATAACGTACTTTTAATTAAGTCAAGCAGACATTCACGGCAATGGTGAGAATGGGTAGTTCATGTATTTCGAAATTGAGTAAAATTATACTTTTTCTCTCACTGTTACAAATAGCGTCAACTCGTGACATAATAACACTTAAACGTCGATTTAAAAATGCACCAACTTTAACGGCGCTCTTGCGTGACGTACAAACTATTAATAGAAACGATAAGCAGCGTATGGCACACTCGAACATCAACGATGGACGAAAAATGCATCTAGTCGAAATAAAAGAACCAATGTTTGAAAACGAGAATGGGCTTCACAACGGGCTTCACAAACGTCAATGGGATGACTACGGTATACCAGCAAATCGATTTGGCAAACGAAACGCCGAGGCTCATAAGCGATGGGGAGCGATATGGTTGTCACCTTTTAAACGCCAAGGGTCAGCGCCATCTAGCTCTGCTACCAGGGAATACAATATGAACCCTGGGTGTACGTTCATGTGTTTACCAACCGTTATATGGAATACGATGTCCCCATCGAAGAAAACGAGGTCCTTCCAAGGAAGTTTTACGCACGTTCATAATGGTGAGAACGTCCGGTGTTTTCCCAGAAACTGTGATTCCACTGACTATTCTGAACCGTTCAAACATTTGCTAGAAAATAGTATTGGTACAGCTGAAAATCGCAACGTCTTTCAAAATGAACAATATGGGAGGAACGGAGGTGCTAGTTACGTTTTGGATGATGACAGTGACGCTAATTATTTCGAAAACGACATTGATATCGTCGATCCTTTGCAAGACTACTGACCACTTTTAACCAAACTGCATATATATGTACATTTAAGCAAACTTATGGATATTTGTTTCTGTAATTCCATGTGCGAAAGAGTCAGTATTCAAACGTCTTAATCCTAAATATTGAAATAACATTTATTAAAACTAGTAGACAACTGAAGGACACAGTCAGGTTGAGGGTAACTTTTTTGACGATACTAAAAAGGGCAAGATTCGATTTATAGAGGTTGTATAAAACATAGGAGCATTATTAATAAGTCCCTAATGAATTTTGACACTTTATTAATCTCCAATAAGATCTTCTTCCAGAATTGGTATTTGCTTGCATGTAGACATCTCAAATATTTTTTACAGATACTAAAAATTTGGATCTTAGGTACACATAGTTCATTTGTTTATTGAGCAAAACCAGTGCTATTGTGTGACAGAATTGTAGGCAACATGTATAATTGTCTTATCAATATATTCTTACCATTTCAAATATCCAAAAAGATCCGTGATATCAAATTATGAAGTTGTTTCAAAGTGCAATAACGTTCAGATTCTCACAAATTCACGTAGTAAAAAATGAATAAAACCAATGAATGTAAAGATCGTATATTTTCTTGGATTTTTGAAAAAATTATAACAAATGATACGAACTAAAAATATTTATAACTGAAACATTTTTTGAGAGAAATCTGTCCAAAGCACTCTGCCATTCCTTGCTACCGAGAAATTTTAAGTTACAAATTGTAATCCAACTGAATCTGATGAAAAACTAAAAGAAAAGACCATGTGCAGTATGGGAAGTGATTTTAGACAGTCATATCTTTCACCATGAGTACTTTCTGGGCATAAATACAGTGTTTTTATTAAAACAATATGTTTTCTTTCAAGTGAAGTACCCATGATGATAAAAATATAAATCAAACAATTCGAAAAATTATGAATAGGGACCCCATGTCAACATTTTTTTTCAAAATTTTGAACCTATTTACTCAAAAGAGGATCTTCTTTTTCTGATTTTTATTGCATGAAAAGATTATTCAATAAGGGGTCTAAAATATCTTCAAAAATTGAATGGTATTGAAAGTCTAGTTTTGAACTTTAACGCATTTCAATACCTATCCCCTTTCAGAAATTGTTAAAATAGTGACGAGGTGAGTTTCGATATGTTTAAAACTTTAAATTGAGAAAAACAAGATCTTCTTTTTTAGAAAATAAGCCTAACATTTTTTTTAAAAAGTCCGAAGGTATGGCCCTAATCCATAATTTTTCAGAGAGTTGGATTGATATTTTACCATCACTTGACTTCACTTGAAAGAAAACATATCGTTTTAACAAAAACCACTGTATTTATGGCCAGAAAGTACTCATGGTGAAAGATATGACTGTCTAAAATCACTTACCATACTGCACATGGACCTTTCACCTAAACTGCACGAAAGAACATACATTTTTACCACAGATTTCGGGAAGTGTAGGGCGTAATTGGAATCTGTTTCAGTTTAAATTAGAAAACTTATCCAATGAATCTCTAAACAATGACTCGGAAATTTGATTAGAGGTGGCATCAAACACTTCTTATTGAATTATAACAACGCAATGCGAATTTTAAATCCCAATATCCTGTCAGTATTCTTGGAAAGTAGTCTCAAACGTTGATATTCGGTCAGATGAATTACACAAGTGTGAGGTTTGAGAGATAGTAGTCATTTTAAATTATATTTATTCATTCCTTTACTTATTTATTTGTTATATTGGCACAACCGATCATACAATTTTACCAACATCATCACTTATGTACTTTTACATTTACAGCTATTCAATAATAAGCGTGACGCTAATACATGTACTTGCGATTCGGATTATTTAGCTTCTCGGTTTGATGGCGTTATAAATAAGAATGAAAGCTTTTATATTTCTATGTGAAAAAAAGATTATTTCCAGTACAAAACGTCATTCTTGTCACGGATTGCTTATTTCATAAATACATAGACGAGACCTTATCAAGGCCTAGGACTAATAGTCAATATAATAGCTGTAGTATACAATAAAGAAGACCCATCGTAAACTGACTGAGAGGACAATACAATCTTAAACAGACATACCTCAAAGGGATTGGATGTTGAGGCTCAGAGAGACAATTTGTAATCATCTATCCGCGAGTTTAGAGGTCCATGATCCATGGTTTTATGAACTCTGAGTCTATTTTATGATGAATTTAAATATTTCAGCAATCGACCAGCAAAAGAACCCTGTGTTATTATTTTACCAAAATGTTTCCATGTTTCAAGGAAATGAGTTGATTAAAGTGCCGAGAAATTCTCCGATTTAGCATAGTGCGCCGATCATTGTTTACTGACAGGAGAGGGGGTACCTGTAATAAAATTGTACGAACTGGTTCTCGTTTGAAAATATGAATGCTTACATTTCAGACATGCGTCATGTTACAGATAGTTACAGTTAAATAGGTAGCGTATTTTAGGATTAGAGTAACAAAAGCTCTATGAATTTCTGAACATTTTTGTTTTTTCGTATATGAATACACTTGAGATATGGAATGAATTAAATATAAAGAAATGAAAGAAATACACTAGAAGCAGATCATTCAAAATAGATTATCAAAGTTAATTTTTAGAACATCAATAAAGTAACGTTTTATGTAACCTTGGATGACTTGTATGTCAGCATATCCTTATCAGAAGAATTTCGCTGATTCAGAAATGTGGGTATTAGTATAAAAGGGAAGTAATATGATGCATGTACATGGTGTCTCATGCTGAACCACTTAAAGCTGGGATGTATTCGAACACAGATTCACGATCCAATATTGTTATCTGCTTAATGATTAAAAGTATTACGTTACATCAATTGAGAAATATGATAAAAATGATGTGGGTGGTCAGAAGTTATTGCTTACATATTTAGGAGTGCAAGTTGTTGTTCACTTAACAAGGCATTAACATGCCAATGTCACCACCTGGCATTTGTTACAGACAAACACTGAACACCATCCAGAAAAAGGTTGGAGACTATAACAATATGTCACCACTTGTGGTGGTGACATAATAATATCTAAAAAGATACATCTTTTTATATAGGAGGGGGTTGTCAGTTTACCAGACTTAAAGAACATGAAAGTAAATGATATCTTTCATTTTATTCAATGAGAAAGCTTCATACATGTAATTATAAAAGGAGAGTAGAGTTTTCTAGTGTGCATGTCATAATCCTGGGAATAGACCTGCTTCCCAAATAAAGACCTCACCATATATAGACCTGTTTCCCCATATATAGACATATTTCCCAAAATATAGACATGTTCCCCCACATAAAGATGTGTTTCCCAATAGGCCTATAAAGATCTGTTTCCCCTTGTATAGACTCCCCATATCCATATACTGTATAGATCCATTTCCCCTAATATAGACTCCCATTTCGACTTATCCCCCCTAATGTAGACCTCCAATGGTAACCAATTGTACATTTTAGGTAGAGTCTGTTAAAGGAAGAATTAAAAGATTACTATGAGGCATAAACATTTGGTAATCTCAGCAAATAGAAACAGGAAATATATCAGAAAATGGTAACTCAAATACAATTTGCCCTTGATCAGCGGTTCTCAATTTAGCTGCTCAGAATGTTCTAGTATAAGTATATAATAAATGAATGAAAGATATACAATATCATTTTTCATAAAGCACAAAAAACTGTGATCTACTCTTAAATATATTTCATTTCCATATTATAAATGCATTCTAAGTACAAGTCCTAAAATGCATGCATTTTACTGATTCCTTGCATCAAAAATATTTTTCATATGTAAAAAGTCAAAAATATGAAAAAATAGTTTTAGTGTTTTCCATAATAGAAATTACAAGGGATAGAGAGTGTAAAATGTTGGGAGCAATTTTTTCAAAAATCATGCCAATGTTTCCATAGCAACCCTTAAAAAAGAAATTATTGAAAGATTTAAGATGCAGAAATGTCCGAATTCATTAAAATTGAAGGGAATGTCTCCCTTTCAATTTCACCGACAGACTTTTCATTTCACGGACTTAAAAATCAAAGAATTACCATAAAATAAAGTCAGAACTGTTGAACCCTTTTAAACAACAGGAACAACAACTGTGACAATATTTTTGTAAAACTAATCTCAGCGCATCTCTATCCCTTCTAATTCCTTTAAGAATTCACATAAGTTTTAGCAGTGCAAAAAGTGCTAAGGGTGGTTTATGATCTTTAGATTGATTACATATAACACCTACATAAAGCATCAAATTAATTACAATTGTACGTATAGTATAGTAGTGGTTAAAAACTCTATTGTTAGATTTCTGATCTATATCCTCAACAGCTGTGGATCAAGATCAAAGCTTGTGAGTAGCTTTCCAATATCCTTTGACAATAAATTGTCCTGATTATTTCACTATTTCTGGATACTGGTGACATTTTATATTAATTCATATAATATTCATTTGGCATATTTTGTGAAATTCTCTTACAATTCCATAAAGTTACATTGTAAACTGGTTAAAAAAGATACTTAGATTTGTAATCTTGTACAGAATAAGCATATTGCCAATTAAATAAAAAACAAAAAAATACAATTTACATTAATTGCATTGATACTATCTGTGCCATCCAGTTGGTCATTTAGTATTGTTCTTCTAGGCAGTACAGAAATGAAACAGATATGTTTAAATGGTCCCGTTTCAATCACTTTACCATGCTGTCTTTGTTAGAAGTTCCTCTGTCAAAGATGCATGAAGGGTTCTCAAGTGAAGCGTTATGTCTATCATTATTAATATGTGTTTAGGTTTTAATGTATAATTCTACTAAAATGCATTATATTCACAGGCAGGGACGCATAAGTCTATTTGGTCTGGTAATGTATTCACTATACTAAAGGAATCCAATATAGAAACTATGGAATATATTCTACTATAGGTTATTTCTACAGCTCTGAAGTTCACGAAATATGGCATCAAAATGTGGTCGCTGGTCAGGTTCATACTCCCAACACTTCATCATTAGTTTGTATGCTGCATCAGGGGTCCCTTCTGGAGCAGGCATCCTGTATCCTGTAACAGCAAACATATAAGAGTATAGTTAAAGGAAGGCTCCTTGGATGAAAATATCATATTCCATGATCATCAGTATCACAACAGAATATACTACATTAAAGGGACAAAATGAAAAAAAAGAGTTACAGAAGTGTAACAATTTGTTATACATGCTATATGCTGGAGGGGACAATGCTGAATTAATGCAAGTCACAAAAATGATGGCTGTAACAATATGTTGTCACTGCTTGATGGTGAAATACAAGTACAGGGTGTCTATAAAGTCTCTTTATACATAGACTTTGTGTTCATAAACATTTCCAGAGCATTTTCTTACCCATGTCTATTTTGTCTCGAGCCTGCTGATTGGTCATCCCAGAATAGGGGGTCGAGCCTCCAGAAAAGACCTCCCACATCAGTATACCAAAACTCCATACATCACAGAGAGACGTGTACCGACCTGTAAACCAGATTAGATATGTTATTTGCACAGACATTATTCATTCCACTAAATTCCTCCCCGTGACAAAGCATGCATTGTATTAAATGTTATCATAATTGTCAAAGCTTCACAGTATAACACTAAAATTGTTTGTATGGATATTTTAACACAACTTAAAGTTTAGAATCACACTTTACCAAAATTATTGTTTTTACGGATAATTAACAAATACAGCTTTTGAAGTCTTAAATATCACCCTATGCAGACAGAGCCTGTGGGAAATATTGGGTGCGGAGCAAATGAGCGGAGGGTGCGGAGCTAACGGTTATTTTTGAATTTAAATTTGGGATATTTCTGAAACTAAGCCGTTTTGGGACTTCAAATATACCAAGATATGTGTATTTGACACCAAATATCAATACAATTGTGAAAATAGTAGCGCAATTCATTCTATAGCGACGCAGTGTGCCTTAAACCTTTCCCAGACCTATATATTTTGAAATTATCCTTTTAATACTGAGTCCCCAGCATTCATAAAAAATGGTGTTCAAGGTGCACTATCTATACAAATTATTTTTGCATCTTGGAAGCCAGGCAGTATCTGTGTGATTTTATAAAAATTCGGAATTTTTTTCAGATATGAGCCCCCTCTAAATATTGGGTGCGGAGCAGCTCCATAAACGTAGCTCCGCACCCAATATTTAGAGGGGCTCATATCTGAAGAACATTTCCGAATTTTTATAAAATCACACAGATACTGCCTGGCTTCCAAGATGCAAAAATAATTTGCATGGGTAGTGTATCTTGAACACCATTTTTTATGAATGCTGGGGACGCAGTATTAAAAGGATAGTCTCAAAATATATAGGTCTGGGAAATGTTTAAGGCATACTGCGTCGCTATAAAATGAATTGCACTACTATTTTCACAATATTATTGATATTTGGTGTCAAATACACATATCTTGGTATATTTGAAGTCCCAAAACGGCTTAGTTTCAGAAATATCCCAATTTTAAATTCAAAAATGACCGTTAGCTCCGCACCCTCCGCTCATTTGCGCCGCACCCAATATTTCCCACAGGCTCTGTCTGCATAGGGTGAATATGTGACACCAAAATTACCAAAGCATAATTTAACAAATACATTTATCAGGCTTAACTTTTGTGTCTAAAACATATTTTACCGAAATTGAGAGCTTCTGGTGCAGTCCACTTAATAGGGATCTGTTTGAGGCCATCTGATACTGTGTACTCTTCCTCCTCACGTGACATACCAAAGTCAGATATCTTAACTATGTTATTCTCCTTATCCAGTAGGCAGTTCCTAGCAGCCAGATCTCTGTGAAGAAGACAACAAAATTGCCATGATTGAAATTGCCAATTCTTTTGTTGACATTGTCAGGCATAAAGCAGGTTAAGCAATGGCTCACCAGATTTCTACAGAAACATACTAATTGAAATGCTTTTTTCAACTACTGTGGAAATGAACTACAAAGATACATATACAGTATAATATACCTCATTAAATGTAAATTTCATCCTCAATTTTACCTTTGAAATTACTAAAATCATACATTCTGGAATTCTTATTTTTGGAATTGAAATACAAAGTCATTCTTCGTTTATTGATTAAAACATTCATATTTTCAGAATCCTGAAACCGTCATTTTGTATAATGATTTGCTCTCAAATTCTTCACTTAGGAAATATTCAACTGATATAAAAAGCAAAGCAATAGTTGTACCTGTGTATACAGTTCTTGCTCTCCAGGTATGCCATGCCAGCAGATGCATCTTCACACATCTTAATGAGGTCTTTGCAAGGAACACGGTTGCCCTGCTTTCTTAAATAAGACAGCAATGCTCCACCTAGAATTACAAACATTATGTATTGAACATTTCTCAAACTTATCCTACATACTTATTTATATTTTATTATAGAAAGTAATGGCAGCTATACAGGGAAATAGAAATCTAAAGTTGTTGGTATTACAAATATACATACATGGGAAAGTACTTGTTTTTGAATAGATGTTTAACTTAATATTTTGAAAATTGAGAAACACATCAACAGTTACAGTATTTTGGTATATGTTTGGTTGAAACTTCTTTTTGAATTAATAAGTCAACAGAATGTTCTGTATTTTCTTTGAACTCAGTTCGAACTCTCTATTCAGTAAGTTAACCAATACAATATCCATCCCCATAGTAACCTTGACAGTGCCAGGATTAAATTTTATCTAACGTACCTCCAACAAATTCCATAACAATCATCACAGGTTTCCTATGTGCCGCTATTCCTACAAACTTGACAATGTTTATATGGTCATATTGTTTTAATATCCTTCCCTCTTGGAGAAATTTCTTTCTCATTTCTTCAGATAATGTCTCTTTACATGTTTTCACAGCTACCTCTTGATTTGTTGGTTTAAACCTTCCTTTAAATACATCACCAAAATTACCCTGGAAAAAGACATGATTTATTTAATGATACGAACAATTGTTTGTAGACTATATTGCTACAATATAGTTTAGCTTTACTAGGAGATTTCAGATAGAGACGTATGTCTCGAAAATGTTCGCTCAAATGCACCATAAAGATATGCTAAATTTTTGTAATAACGTTTATGGTCATTCTTTGGCATCTAATTTTTGTGTGGTCTTGTTGAAGTAATTTGCTGTTATTGGTGCTAATTATTTTGTAAAACTATTCCAAAGAACACAGAAATGATGTTTTATACCAAGGACATGGTTTCACTAAGATATTGTTGAAAATCATCTTAGCTTATAGCCTATTAACACATTAATATAGTCACTCAAAGCACAATGTATCTAAGAGAAGGGCTGGGAATCGTAATTTTTAAATGGATATGCATGTATCGGATCTTTATATAAAACACTATGGGGAGTAACTCACATTTCCTATTTTTGGACCTAGTTCAATATCATCATTCTTTAGCTCCCAGTCTGCTCTTAGTATTGCTTTCTTCAGTAGAGCCTGGGACCTATCAAGTATTATAATTTATTGCATAATTTTGTAAATATAAGTATATATATAGACATATAGTTTAAAGCAGGCAAAATATTTACATAATTTCTGCATACAATGATTACTTTCATAGACAACTGAACTACAGATCCAGTGACCTAAGCAATAATGTAAGAGGCTATGAGTCACATCGCAGTAAGTACGTAACATTTTTCTCAGAAAGTTTGCCGACACCATTTTTGAATATTTCAAAAAATGATATTCAGCTTGAAAATATATCCTTGGATAACCTAAATCTCTTCTCAAACCCAATATCATAGTTAATATTATCTTTATAATTTGTTTATTTGTCACTTTTGGTAAGATTACTTCAAGCGCCACCAACCTGTTTGTCACTGGAGTGTTACTGTTCTGTTGATTGAGGATTAGTTCCTGGATTGTGGGGAAGCAGGAACCTTCTAGCCTCCAGGCACCCTGAAACATCAAAGAAATAACTGACTGAATTGTTACTATTACTAAAAGCTTACATGCGATAAAATCTTAGTAAAAATTGATGATTATATTTCTATGTTACCCATATTTCTTTGGAAATGTTGCACATTTGGAAAAGATTTTGGATAAAACATTACATCTCAAGGTATCTCAAGCTATTACACTGTACTCAAATAATTGTATAATGTAAAAACCAAATTATTCATTACCATGGTAACAAATTAAATATATACATGTGTACATGGAGCTTTAAATATGAACACATTGATCAACTTATTATTTCTTAAAGTTCTTCCTCTGTTACAAAAATACCATGCCTCATAAAGGGAATACTTATGTTAATAAGTGTATAATCTTATTGCAAATAAATAAAACTTAACCTTAAAAAAAAAACTTACATTTTCACCCTGTATTATGAAATGTTTATGTCCTTTCCACATCACAGACAATACATACTGCACTTCCTCCGTTTTTTTATTCTTACTTTCACGGACCAAATAATCTCCATCCACTGACAGTAGCCGTTGGACCTCTTCACGTGGGAGAACACCATGGAACCATTCTTCATCATCAACAGGTCTGTCAGATGATGTTTTTTCCTGAAATTGATTTCAGTTTGATTTATCATGTACATTTTAACTAATTTCACTGCTATATGGGGATCAATAATGTAACTGGAGCCTGTGCATGTATATGTAACAAAATTACTTTTTATATAAAATACAATATGGAATTTTGTAATTTGTAATTTTGGTAGAATTTCTGCATTGTAAATCATGCTTACTGAAATGAGAGAATTTTGAAGGGGGTAAAAAGATTGTCACAAGACATAAGAGGTTTGTGGGAGCACTGAAAACACTCTGCTTAGATTGATTGGTTGTGTTACCTCAATAAGTGGATTTTCAGTAGGGCTGTGCACTGGGGAGGTTGTGTCACTCTTATTTGAGAAAATAGATGTGTGACTGGCTTTAGACATTCTCTGGTATGACTGAAAAGGAAAAAACGTAAAAAAAAATCATTGCAATTCTAAAGGCATTGACATGCAAAATGTCACAACCTGCCATTTGTTACAAACACTGACTGCTGAACTCTGTTACAGACACCAAACACCAGCCAAAAAGTATGAACAATGTTATGGAAACTGCAAACAACAATATCTCTACATATTTATTATTTACAAAGTTCGGGCCAATATGTGTCTAGAAATTATTATTTAACTGCAGGGTTTATTCAAGAGAGACAGCCAAAAATGTTAGAAATACATGTATGAGAAAATAATGTGGCTCTTTCGGCTTCAGTATGCAAATTAGAAGGCTAACCAGTTAAATTACCTAATAAAAAAGAACATTGAGATAAAAATATATTTAAGATTAAAATCTACTACAGTCTGTTACACTGCTTCAAAGGCAAGCAGTTAAACCTGAAATATAAGAAATCTAAATAATATTGTACAATAATATATAGAAAAAAAATATTCATATTGCACATGAATGACATTTGTATATGTTGGATTGCTTGTAAATTGGCTCATAAAGTCTGTAACCTCTTATATTTTGAGGCTTCTCTACCATGTTTTAAAATTCTCAAAAAATAACATGGCGGACAGACCTCAAATTACAAGAGGGCACAGGCTTATTGCACTAAACACTAAATAATCTGAAATATACAAATGTCATTCGTGTGCAATATGAATATATTTTTTTTCTATATATTTTGGCACAATGGTCTATAGATTTCTTATTTTTCAGGTTCAACTGCTTGCCTTTGAAGCAGTGTAACAGACTGTAAGAGTGAAACTCAAATTAACAAACCTGTTGATAGGTGGTGCCACTCGTCTTCTCTTGGTTCTGGTTTGTGGAATTATTTTTCTCATTATTTTTGTCTGACACATTGCCAGAATCATGATGGTCCAAAAAGTCCCGACTGGGAGGTTTCGGTGGAGTAGATCCTAATTGTTTCTTGAAGGGATTCTTGGTTTTTAATGTTGTAAAACCTGCAGCAAATTTCTTTTTAAAGTCCTTCAGTCCACTTCCACTTGCGGTGATGGTACTAATATTCGAGTCAGATGATGCCTAAAAATATTAATAAAAATGTGTGTTCTTAACTTATAACACAGTATATGAACAAAATGAGTAATTTCCCTATAACTACTAAAAAGCTCCTTGATACAACCTCAGTACTGTTGGGGTAGAATCACATCCCATTTTCACACATAAATAAGATACTTGATAAGTTCAAGGATGTACTTACATTTTCAATTTGTTCAGTGGTCAGGTCATGTATATCAATACCAGAAGGCGGAGCATTATCGCCCAGTTCTGTCACAGGTTTAGATACAAGTTCAATCATCTTTGTATATTTTCTCTCATTACATTCAAGCTCTGCTATGTCTCGTTTTAATATCTGAACTGCACGCTTTTTTACTATGCAACTACAAAAATGATGTTTGATTATATAAGAATACAATTTAAACATACAATTGACATTCATGTCATTGATTCTCTGTGACTAGGAGATCCTTACTAATTTTGGAAACTTGAAAACAGCCTGAAGCCTAATTTTCATAAAACAAAATAATTTAAAGGCATTCAAAATATACATTGGGTCTCACTTATTTTGATAATTTGAAAAATAAACAGCACATTCACTTAAATCACTCATCCTAATATTTATATAAAATAAATGTACATAGGGTAATATAGTATACAAGAGAGCATATTCAAGTGCTAATCACCATCTTGGCATTATAAGCACTCTAGCCTAGCGGGGAAAAAGTTGAAGAGGGGTGGAAGGGGGGGGGTCTGAGCTGGGCTGGGACTGGGGGAAATACAGGGCAGAGGGACAATGTAATTTATAGTTGCAAGACGAGGCAGGGTACAATAGGTTCTAGAATAGTCTTGTTCAATATGGGGTAAGCCATCTCTTAATAAAGGCAGAAGTCAGAGTAAAGATTTTTGTGTTTTCATCCTTGCTAAAATTACGATTGCCAAAGGCTAGGTATTCTAAAAGTGTAGATTGGTTTGTGGGGATCAAAGGAGTTTCAGTGTAGAGAGTATTGAAAAAGGTGGTTCTTGCATTTTCATTCAGAGGGCAGTGAAAAAAGAAGTGTTTTGGAGTTTCGGGTAGACCACAAGAACAGTTAGGAGAACTGATGAAGGTGTAATTGTGGGCAAAGAGTTGAGCTCTGAAGAGCAGGTCTACCCTTAACCTATTAATAATCATCCTAATATCAACTGATATTATCTACTCATAGATAGAAATGATATTGCCCAAATTCAATTACCTTCTGTTCCACAAATCTTCTGTGTGTCATTACCTAATACTCGCTACTTTTGACAATGATAATTAATTACTTACTCATTTTTCTGTATTTCATCTAGTTCATTTGCAGCTGGTAGTTGCTGTATCTCTTCCTCTAAAGTGGCCATCTCTTGCGTTTTCTGCTCAATATGGTTCTGAAAGAGTGCTAGTTGGTCCTGGAACCCACTCAGGCTGAAACAAGATTATCATGCAGTTAGGGCACCAAGTTGCATTCACCTTAATGCAATGACTACATTTCACATTCCTCCGCCAAATCATTTTTCACAAATGAAATTGTCATTTACACCCCCCCCCTTACAAAACAACTTTTATTGTGATATTTCCAGTAACAAGTAACTTATTTGTCTTGTAATGTTTCCACAGTTAAATCATCTAAGGCAATCTGATTATTCTTTAATGTTCCCTTATATTCTTCTAACTTACTTATGTTGTAATGTTTCCACAGTTAAATCATCTAAGGCAATCTGATTATCCTTCAATGTTCCCTTATATTCTTCTAGCAGATCTTTGTCAAATTCAAATGTCTGGGCACATATTGGATCATCTCTGAAAATAAAATATTAAAACATAATAATATTTGTACATAAAAATAACTACTGATTGTACTTATTTGATAGTATACACTGAAATCTGTAAAGTGGAACACTTTTCCGAATCCCAAGACGGTTAATGGTAAATGAACCTATATAAGTGGAACTCCTCCCAAAAGGTACACTTTGTAGATGCACCAAGTATTTGTATTAAGCTCAAACTGATATACCTGGTAAGCACAGGCATTCTATGCATCACCCCAAATGTCATTTGATGAGATAACACAAATCCAACCATTATACACCAAGGATGGTGATATTTGGTGTGCACTTGCTTATTTTTATCAATGAACTCCTTATATTCCAAGGATAGTGATATCTGGTGTGTACTTACTTGTTTATATCGATGAACTTCTTGTACTCCAAGGATGGTGATATTTGGTGCGTACTTACTTGTTTTTATGGATGAACTCATTGTATTCCAAGGATGGTGATATTTGGTGTGTACTTACTTGTTTTTATCAATGAACTCCTTGTATTCCAAGGATGGTGATATTTGGTGTGTACTTACATGTTTTCATCTATGAACTCCTTATAATCCAAGGATGGTGATATTTAGTGTGTACTTACTTGTTTTTATCGATGAACTCCTTGTATTCCAAGAATGATGATATTTGGTGTGTACTTACTTGTTTTTATCGATGAACTCCTTGTATTCCAAGGATGGTGATATTTGGTGTGTACTTACTTGTTTTTATTGATGAACTCCTTGTATTCCAAGAATGGTGATATTTGGTGTGTACTTACTTGTTTTTATCGATGAACACCTTGTATTCCAAGAATGGTGATATTTGGTGTGTACTTGCTTGTTTTTATCGATGAACTCCTTGTATTCCAAGAATGATGATATTTGGTGTGTACTTACTTGTTTTTATCTATGAACTCCTTGTATTCCAAGGATGGTGATGTTTGGTGTGTACTTACTTGTTTTTATCGATGAACTCATTGTATTCCAAGGATGGTGATATTTGGTGTGTACTTACTTGTTTTTATCGATGAACTCCTTGTATTCCAAGGATGGTGATGTTTGGTGTGTACTTACTTGTTTTTATTCTTGAACTCCTTGTATTCCAAGGATGGTGATATTTGGTATGTACTTACTTGTTTTTATCGATGAACTCCTTGTATTCCAAGAATGGTGATATTTGGTGTGTACTTGCTTGTTTTTATCGATGAACTCCTTGTATTCCAAGAATGGTGATATTTGGTGTGTACTTGCTTGTTTTTATCGATGAAGTCCTTGTATTCAAAGAATGGTGATATTTGGTGTGTTCTTACTTGTTTTTTATCGATGAACCTCTTATATTCCAAGGATGGTGATATTTGGTGTGTACTTACTTGTTTTTATCGATGAACTCATTGTATTCCAAGGATGGTGATATTTGGTGTGTACTTACTTGTTTTTATCGATGAACTCCTTGTATTCCAAGGATGGTGATATTTGGTGTGTACTTACTTGTTTTTATCGATAAACTCCTTGTATTTCAAGGATGGTGATATTTGGTGTGTACTTACTTGTTTTTATCTATGAACTTCTTGTATTCAAAGGATGGTGATATTTAGTGTGTACTTACTTGATTTTATCAATGGACTCATTGTATTCCAAGGATGGTGATATTTGGTGTGTACTTACTTGTTTTTATTGATGAACTCCTTATATTCCAAGGATGGTGATATTTGGTGTGTACTTACTTGTTTTTATCGATGAACTCCTTGTATTCCAAGGATGGTGATATTTGGTGTGTACTTACTTGTTTTTATCGATGAACTCCTTATATTCCAAGGATGGTGTTATTTGGTGTGTACTTACTTGTTTTTATCGATGAACTCCTTATATTCCAAGGATGGTGATATTGAGAGGATGGCCTTGTCTAGCTCTGCTTGTGATGATGTAAAATCATCTCGTGAAAAGTTTGTATAATTTGAGTATTCCTGTAGTATTTCTTTACTGAAATAACAATAGATATTGTTAATGCTATCTTTTATTATTGTATAACAAGGAGACATTAAATATGATTAGCAATGACCCTATGTACAGTTCTAACTGTATTATTAAAATTTATGAAAAAGACCTTTTGAATTGACATATTAAATACGAAAGACATATTTAACTGTCACTCCAGTCAATGAAACACACCAAATACCTGAATCATGAACAGACAAAATAAAAGGCATTGTACATTTGAAAGCTAGGAATGTGTCTTACAATCAAAGGTAAACACTGGGTTCACGGTTAAAGGGACTTTCCCTGCAAGCCCATTTCTCTCTTTATATGATAGCTAGGAATGTGTCTTACAATCAAAGGTATACACTGGGTTCATGGTTAAAGGGACTTTCCCTGCAAGCCCATTTCTCTCTTTATATGATAGCTATGATAGAAATGGACTTGCAAGGAATATCCCTTCAAGGTTGAAAACCTCACTGCCAAATTTAACATATTAATATTCAGTCCATTGTCCAATGGGCAACTCATTTTCAAAGTTGCAATTGGCAGTTGGGAATTGGCAGTCAGGCAGCATTGAGTTTTGAGCCCTGAGGACAGGCCGTAGCCAGAGGGGGAGCTGGGGGAGTACTGTTGACTATACTCCTTGCCCGTAGCCAGCTTTTACCAGGAGGGGGAGCTTTTTTCCAGGGGGGGAGCTTTTGCACAATTTCGGCTAAAAATCATGCGAAAAATTCTCAGAATGGTGAAAAACTGCATGATTTTGAAAGAAATTCTGGCCAGGGGGGGGGGGGGAGCTTAGTCAACAGTAAACTGAAAGCCCAAAGTAAATATAAGTTGAATCTGTTCAATTTTACTCAATAGCAATGTCCCATGATTTGGGATCCAAACATATCATGATCCATAAAATTGATTGATGAATGATGAATACAGTATGAGAGATCAGAAAGTTCCAAAAGTCATACTGTTCTGGTTCAACATATTAAATTACAAAAGGATAGTTTTTTTATTATTTAATATCGAGAGAGATTCTTTGATTAATCTTCACAATAGATTGAAAATAAAACAAGCACTGGTATTTAGCTTGAATAGTGCATATTTTGTCACATGGTTTCGGTATACAATGTTGAAATACCCAAAATAACAATGAAGCTGGCACGCTGCTGGTGATTAGACAAGCGGACACTTTGAGATCACAAATAAGTATGAAAATGAATGAGGAATATAATATACTCACCATTGTCCAACCATTGACTCCTGGACCTCTTGATGGTAAGCCAAGAGACCAGGAATCTTTTTCTCCAAGTAATCCTTCTGGTGCAAACTGGCCTCATGTAAGCTGATTACATAGTCATTATGGACCTTATGCAATTTCACTGTTGTTTTCAAATACTTTGTTTTGGCTTCTTCGAAAGTCCTCCCAGCTTTACCTGTGAAGCAATGCATTTTAAACAAAGGATAATTGTTTGATGAAATGTATCATAGACAAAATAATGACCTTTATGTATAACTAAACTGAATAGTTAATTAAACATGTGGCACACTGTTTAGAATTCACTAAATTGTCTGACAAGTCAAGTACCAAATTTTCACTAACTCATTTGACAGATTCTAAGCCACTGTGCAACAAAACTGTTGGATCATCTGATTCAATGATAATATTTTGGGATTGTGTAATTCGTGATCGTGTTTTATCTCATGATAGCGGATACAGCGCCATCTTCACTTTTAAAGTCAGCCATTAAATGTTCCTATATGTAAAATGTATCAATCCCAGAAATCTCCCCAGCATTAAAGCGAGTAGGCGCAGCACCAACCTGAGATTTTGAAAATATGCACCAACTTGAAAATGAGAAAAATCGGTCTATTTTGGCCAGTTTTGGTCTGAATTGTGAGAATGAGAATTTCGCACCGACTTGAGAAAAAATCCTGTGGAGACCACTGAATTCATTGTATAATATAGACATAAAAACTAGTATACACCTTATTTGATTATTTATCGTAAATGAAGAACAAGAACTCTAATACACAAACTAGATATGTGAACTGTGAAGAGGGTAGTAATCATTTTGTTTATGTATTTCCAATGTAAATATGACATAAGCCTTAACTGACCTTTCATAAGTAAGTCCTCGTATCTGGCTTTTTCAACCGTAAGTTTCTCCATATTTCTCTTGTATTCTCCATGGTGCTTGGCAACTTCCTCTTGCACCTACACAAAAAGTAGATATACTCAATACAAGAGTAGAAGTGTTAACCTCTTGACTACCCAGAGTGACGAGATTTCTCGTCACCTCAGAAATAACCTTGAAACCCAGAGTGACGAGATAATCCGTCACAAAATTTTTCACTAAAATTGCTCTTATTTAAAAGTTTTTTATCCAATTTACACAAAATTTGTTTTAAAATGTCTAGAAATGATCTCTGCCGGCTAATTTTACTAAATTGAACATCGTCTGTTTTATATGTATGTAGTAAAATGTCAGAAGCTGGCAAAAATGAAAAATTATCTGGTTTCAACCTATTTTCGAACCTGGGATTCAAGAGGTTAAAGGACTCCAGATTAAAAAAAAAGATTAAAAAGAACCTAACCCAATTTTTCTTTTGGGTGAGAATAAATACAAAATATTCCATTCTATCTACTGAGGTAAATACATGTTCATCTTTCTTTCGATATATAATTGCAGCAGCCCAAAGGGTCTCTTTGGAAAACTTTGGGAGATTGCATATTAACCCTCAGTATAAAACCCATAAGTAAACAACTTCTAGTATTCCATACATACTACTGAGGTTCTATGTATACTTAACGTGCAGGAATATATAGTACATGTACATCTAGGGAGCAGGATGACTATTTTCTGTATCTATCCTGCTATCGCCAAGGTTCAAGAAATACAATTGAAGCTGTATCCATGTTATTTTGAAAGATTTCATTTTTTAAAGTTGTTAAAAATTGAAATATATTTTTTAATCTTGGAAGATAAAATTACACCAAGAACAGTAGGTATGGAATACATATGTTATGTATAATCTGTTTTGGATCCAGAGTCTATCACTGGGGAAATATGTGTATCTCCCTCAGTTCCTACGGTTCTTTGAGAAATACACATACACAGTAGCTCCCTGGGGATAAACCCTGTATCCAAAACTTCCTAATACATAACCACATTGTATCTTTATTGACTGACTACAGTAACACTTATTACACTAACCTTATTGAACTCAGTATCAAGTCTGTTCCTCTCTTCATTATAGGCACGTCTAGCTGCCCGTTTCTCACTAATTAACTTTGCAATTTTCTCAATTGTCTTGCTCATCAATGAGTCTGTGTTCTGTTTAAGGATCTTCACAAATTGTTCAGTCTCTCGTATAACAGTATGCCAGACCTAAAATAACAAAGAAAATACAGTGATAAATATCACACTCGTGGCACACAACTTTCAACTCATGCCTAACTACATAAATTCAACATGTGCTTAATATGACTTATAATGGACAGGTTGACAGAATGATATGAAAACTTATACCATCAAAACATTCACACTTTTGTCTTCATTGTCTTTTTTTAAAAATCTAAAATCCTTCAAAGCTCAGAGCTAGTGGATATTAATTCATTACTTTGGCCTGACTGAACCAATCACAACCTTGATCAATATTTCAATTATTTGTTCAAAATCGCCTGTTGCCATCTGCTAATGAAACCCCTGCACACTGGTTTAAAAATAAAAAAATTTCACTGCAACTTTTGCCTTCTTATACATAAGATTCTAACTTTAAATCCTTAGCAATAAACACATTACTTGGAAAATGTTAATCATGTTAGTCATCAGATGAGTATATTAGAGGCCTTGTTATTTGTTAAAAAAACTCAAAAATGTACAATTAATACAAAAAGCATCCTGTCTGCCATGAGAATTCAATAATAAAACACAGCAAGTTAGGGTATTAGAGTAAATGAATTATCTGGCTTCATTTCCCGCTTGCTATTTTGATATTAGATACATTGCTCAGAATCTGGTGAATAGCTGATAATTTCATGCCACAAATGAAAATGATGTCATTATTTATAAAGGAAAATAAGATTACTTTGGGTACTTTGGGTACTCATGGTGATGGGTTCATGGTGATGTTTTTAATACTTTACTTTTTCAAGGAATTGTACCAACCGAACGCCCTAGCCAATATTTCTTTCAACAGTATGCATTTTTACCACTTTTCAAGTGATTTTGGGCAAAAAATGATCATATTTGAACCCCACTAGAACTTTTTTAAAAACTAAAACCCTTGGCAAAAGATGGCTGGGGGCCTTAACTTTGAAAACTAGAGGTACCTTTTGAATATAAGGAAAGCTGATTGGTAACCCTTACACTTAGCTACCTGTACGATTTCAAGCAAATTGATGCAATACTATTGGATTCATAACATATAAATCTTACAGTATGACACAAAAATGTCACCCACTTATTTTGGAATAACTTTCTCAATAATGAAGGGATCTTCGTGAATTTTTATGTGTCACCCTGTATGTCATATACTCATCACTAATATTTAATTAGCTTTAATTATTAATTTAACAGAAATGTACGCTTGCATTATTTTATCATTTTAACCCTGGATAACTGTATTAACATGTAAAATCTGTGTGTCTTTCAATTTCTAAGCTGATCTTTTGTTAAATTGTGTACTTGTAAAAATGATCAATAATTGGCCACCAGTTGTAATAACCTCTGGCATACTCCCCATGACCATGAAATAATATGTAATTATTTACTGTTTGGGCCAAGAACAGAATTTGATAAACAGTTTTTTTTGTAAAACTATTTATTATACATGAGCAACATTGGCAAGTGCTGAATAGCACTTTTAAAAGGCATTTAAATAGTTTTATTGTTAGTTCTCTGTTAGTTGAACAGACCAACTGACTTTATGTTAAAAGGACCTCTATAAGTGGAACACCTCAAAAATGGAACACCTTTTAGTTTTAGAGGTGCCAAAGGTGTTCCACTTAGAAGAGTTTTGCGATTCAAAAGTCATGTTTAAACTATTAATAGTTATATGTGAAAAACTGTCCATTGGAACACCTCTATAAGTCATAGGTGTAGCGCCAGTACTCTGGCTACGCACAGGCGTACCAGATGATTGCAAATTCGCTCCAAATACAAGCAAATTTCAAAATTTTAAGAGGAACCCCTTTGGAAGTCCTGTGACCTGTTAACTTAATGTTAAATGAACCTCTGCAACTGGAACACCTCCCAAGTAGAACAAGTGCCTTTTGGAGTTTATTTCGGTTATTTTACTAAAAAACAACATTTAGGTACTAAAGGCCTTCTACCTAAACACAGGTTTAACTGCAATAATAAATTAGGTACCTGAAATACTGGGCTGTTAAATTCAGAATTTTCCAGCTTCTGAGACTGTGTTATGACCAGCTGCAACATTGAGGTGTACTCCCGGTCGCTCTTGATGCGTTGTTGCATGCATTTACGCATGTTCTCAAGCAGGCGAATCTCCGCATCTTGCAATTGTAGCAAGGCCTGATGGGAACTGTGACTCTGTAGGTCTGTGCCAAATCCCATCCTGAAATAATATCATAAACTATTCCTACTTTCCAACTGTCAAATATTCCAAATATTGGTTAATATAAAAAGCAATATGAAATAGTATACACTTCTCAATGGATAGAATCATCAATGACTGTTATTTAGATAGTCCGATCCCATGTTTACTCCAATACCGAATGCTATCACTTTTCTTTTGTATACAAAAGAGGAAGTGTTTTTCACACTTAAAGGGGCTAGAAAAGGGCACAATTTTTTTCCATTTCAGCATGCAATGTCATGTCTATTTTCTTAAAGTACTGTATTTCGGTATTATCCTTTATTTTTTAAGATTATCCTTTTTAATTTGGACATTTCTTCATCTTTATAATCTCCTATCACTTCTATTTGAGAAGATATCTTTAAATCTTGATATCTCATCTCAAGAATTGTGAGGAATGCATTTCTGAAGCTTGCTTCTAACATTTTACACTCTTTATCCCTCCATTCCTTTAAGCTGAATTTAAAGGTAAATTTTAGGAATCCCATGTACTTACCTGTTAAATGCCATTGTGCTATACATATGTAAAATATACTCTGACATTGTCGAAAATGACAAACTTCCTGGTATAGCTTTAAACATCTTAAGTCTCACATTACTCTCTGATCAAGTCTTTGCTGAGAAAGTTATCATTATTCAAAGCATAACGCCATAAGATATACACTGTAAGATAATTCTATTTCCCAGAGAATCATAAAAAACTAGAAATCGGCAACTCTATGGGGTAGCAAATCTCAACGAACGCTATATTCATAAATCTGTAAATGTCACAATATTTGAGATCTATTATATAATATAACAAGACTTAAAGATCTCTTAGTAATAGCGAATTCCTGCTCTATAAGCAGCCATTTTGAATTTTACGAGGCCTGAATCAGAAAATGATACAATATTTGCATTGTACTTGAAATTACTCTTTATTTGAGTATAATAAAGCTATACTTCAGAAAGATCTCAAAATTAACAAAAATTCCTATTTTCATACATAGCCCCTGGGGGTCAGGGTGAAAAAACGGAATGTTTATGAAAAAGCAAATCCGTCTACTAGTATACAAGTTATTTTATGGACGGACGGACAGACAGAGAGATGGAGGGCTTCACTATATCACTACCGAATTTCATTTATTGGAATAATTAGGATAAAACGGTTACATTCTACAGAAAGATTTCCCGTATCTTTAGTCCGAGTTTTAGAGCTGAATTTCTCACCAATTAAGGAACCATATAAAATAAGGAAATGCATCATTTGAAAGAACATGTATATCAAAAGCCTGTTGAAACCATTTGTGTGGGAACCCTATTAATTATATTGCCAATCTGCAATAGGGGACTCATTCAAGCAGTTAGATGTTAAATCAACTGGAATCCAAAAGTTAATGTGTCAAGCAGTCATAAAAATGCAATATATCTTGTCTCTTTGCATTACACATCCATTCATGACCTCGGTTGGCTTCAAATTAGCCAAATATACATGTTCTTAAAGAAACTATGAAATATAAGCTATATTTTCTAATTTATCTATTTAGGATGAGATTTTTTGCTCTATTTTGTATTATGCATGCATTTCCTGACTAAACAGACACGTCAAAGAAAACATCTCATTTAAACGCATTTTTCAAAACTATGAAATTGCGTTTAAATGTGAAGTTTTCATTGACATGTCTCTTTAGTCAGTCAGTGCATTCAGATATAAGGAAAACAGATACACAAAATACTGTGACTTTATCAAAAAAATATGGCTGCCATGTTTTTGTACTTTTGATTAACTTTAGCGGTGCCTTAAGTTACAAAAGAGGGGGATAAACCCCAGGGTTCAAAGATGACATACGCTTATAATGTAAATCTGTATCAAGATGACATAGTCGCTGATTGGTTTAGCGAGTCGATCGTTGATTGGTTTAAAACCAGAACAACGGCAACGCCAAAGCGTAGCGAATCCCATCGAACATTTTTCAAAAGGGGCACCTTCTACCAAAAGTGTCATTAGACAGTGTGCCATGCTTATACGTATTCACGTACCAAATATGAACAAAATCGCTCAACTACTTTTCGAGTTATAGTAAAATAAGTTAAAATGGCAGCCATTTTCAAAATGTCCGCCATTTTTCAAAATGGCCACCTTCTACCAAAAGTGTCATTAGACAGTGTGCCATGCTTACAGTATTCACATACCAAATATGAACAAAATCGCTCCACTACTTTTCGAGTTATAGTAAAATACGTTAAAATGGCGGCCATTTTGAAAAATGACCGCCCTCTACCAAAAGTGTCATTAGACAGTGTGCCATTCTTATACGTATTCACGTACCAAATATGAACAAAATCGCTCCACTACTTTTCGAGTTTTAGTAAAATAAGTTAAAATGGCGGCCATTTTTCAAAATGTCCGCCACTTTTCAAAATGGCCGCCTTCTACCAAAAGTGTCATTAGACAGTGTACCATGCTTATAGTATTCACATACCAAATATGAACAAAATCGCTCCACTACTTTTCGAGTTACAGCAAAAATCGTAAAATAACGAGTAAAGGCCGCCATTTTTCAAGATGGCTGCCATGTGCTTTTTTAATATCTACATTTCTAGCTTTATTAATGTCCTATATAGTTTTTTTTACATTTAAAACATATTGCTATTACAGTTTTACATATTGCACCTAAATTACTGTAAAATCGGCACTAAAATGGCCGCCATTTTTAAATGAGCGGCCATTTTGAAAATCGGCTTTCGAGCAGAACTTCTACTCCCATAGGGTATATGTGTACAAAATATGAATAAAATCGGGCCAACGGTATTTGAGTTATTGCCCGGACGGACGGACGGACGTACGTACGGACGGACGGACGTACGTACGGACGGACGGTCGTACGTACGGACGGACGGACGGACGGACGGACGGAGGCGTTCCCTATATCCCTCCGAACTTCGTTCGATGGGATAACTAGGTCACTTTGAAAACTTTGAAAACCAAGATGGAGGGAAGTATAAAGATACGTACTTCCGGGAAAGAAGGTGCGCGAAGGAAGAAATCGTATGTCATCAATCGCGGCAATGTGGATTGGCTCCTAGAATGCAACATGACACGTGTCAGCTTTCAAAATGCCGTTCCGGCGTTTTGAAATCTGTCAGGAGTAATTAAGGTTACCTGATGTTGCATTCTGGGAGTCAATCCTCCTTGGATCACAAACATGGCGATCGATTCATTAAAACATTCGTTCGATTTTGTAGGGATTCATCCATCATTTGCAGGTATGAAGCTTTGGATTCATTTATTGTGCTACTTAAAGTCAATGGGAATTATTTTTCTACCGCTTGGGAGAGTTTGAGACATGAAACTTAGAATTTAGCTCATTGTGACAACTTTCGAGGGTTGAGATTTATTTTTGCACCCCACTTTAGCTGTAAGCTAGAGACTCGAGTAAGTACAGGACATTTTTCGAAATAACATACAGGGCTCACCTAAATAAATAAATGACACCTGGATTTGCTGAAGTTAGGATTTCCCATGTTAAAAAGAAGACAATTTTCAAGAGGCTATACATCAGTGGATGAGAGTTATCCCATGCCAGGACTATAGTCCTGTAACGAGTGCATTCTTTTGCCTGTACGATTACAACTTGGGAGAATTATCTATGCCCCTTACATTTAAGATACTTACTTCAATAGATTCCTGGGTATTTTAGCATTATTTTCGTGTAGTTGAACCCACAATTGTCTGGGTATATCGGCAGAACGGGAACATTTTTCTTTTTCATCGAGAGATATTCCATCACTTTCCAAGATGGCGGTTGGGTTTAAAAGCGGATTCCCTGTTTGACTGACCCGGAAGTACCAAAAATGGAGGAATTTGACAGTTGAAATAAGTTAAATATTACACGCAAATATTGCGATAAAAAACGAAAATTTCTTTGTTCTGCCGATACAATTGTGGATTCAACTAAAGATAAAACAGAAATTCTAGTGACTAGTTCATATGGTTAAAATAACGAAATGATGAAATGAAACCATGTGTCTACTTATCAGTTTGTTCTATGTCATCCATCCTGCTAGCTTACATTGTGGAACGCAGCCAAACACGACATCGGAAGGCAACAACATATCGATACTGATCTTAGCAGAATTCTTGGAAATTTAGATCGTCCATTTTGCAAGCTCACGTGACACGTGTCTGATCACGTAACTAGTTACTGTATCGATCATGTGACTTAATGACGTCTCAATGACGTGTCACCCAACCATGTCTTCAATGAAAATGGAAGTAAATATATTGGAAAATGTTTTGCGAGCATTTGCTACTGATTATAGAATGCCCAATTACGCAACGAACGAAACTGCTAAATTGTTTTTCGTGCCTAGCAGGCCCAGTACCACACGAAAGAAACTGCTAAATTTGAATTTTTATTCTGCTTATTGATCTATTGATTCATAAAGACCTGAAATGATGCATTCAAATAAGACCATGCCTCCTAAATGAAAACACTACACATAAAGTGGTGAAAAACAACGAACTAAAGTTGAAAGATCGCAACGTTCGCTACTTTGTTCAATTCCGGAAATCTCTATAGAGGAAATTTTTTAGATTTAGATTTTATAACCTCAGAATACTGCCTTCAGTGTCGTGTTTGGCTGAGTCCCACAATATAACTAGCAGGATGGATGACATAGAACAAACTGATAAGTAGACACATGGCTATAGTCCTGGCACGGGATAAGATGAGAGTATACGAAATGTAAAATAAACAAAACTTAAGGGATGTGTATCTAGACATTATTGGAAAGTATGAAGTCTCAAATTACCATGGTCTGGAGTGGAAATGGTGATAGAAAATCGAGGTGTCATTTACATGTTTATGGTGAGCACTTTATCTATAATCATGTTTCACTTACAGCTTGGACTGAGGTTAAGCTACGACAAATATAATGCATTACCTTATATCTCCAGTGTCCACATTACGTTGTCACATAGGGAACAGAAAATATTGTTTTGAAGGGTTTCTCTGCTACAATAAACTCAAAAGTTGAAAAGTTTCCAGTTTCCGAAAGTTTTGGAACTTCCGTATTGATTGGCTGCAGTAGAATCACAACCGCTAAGAAAAGTACAAATGGGAGGATCGATAAAAGTACGAACGATAAAACTTAATAAAACAAGATTTTTTAAAGGTTCCTACTTATCATTAGATTAAATTGTGGAATGAACATGTAGAATAATATATTTTAAAATGCTTATGGCAGCTGGTCTATTGATAACTGCATGTATTGGTCGTTTGAACACTGGGTAATGGTCTTTGGTGCGGATCTTGGAGGGGGGTTGGGGCGCCGTTAGCAAAAATAGGGGCCAAAAAATCGGCTTCTCCCCTCCTGAATTCAGCAATTGAGGTAACAATCTAGAAATACTGGTACTTTTAATATTTGGCCTATTCTTCTTGAGAAATTGGACACCAATTTTCAGATTTAGGGCCCAACGGTTCCCCTCTCCCTCTTGATTTTATATCTTGAAATGATATCTTTCCATTGAGGAAATCATTATCATTTGATTTGTTTACTGGAAAAATGCAGTCCATTAATGAGGTTAGAATAACTGCGACCTTCTGAATCTAGATGAAAATGACATCGTTCGCAATTTTTGTGTGAAGAGAGTGCATTTCAGATCATAGGAAAATTATCTTGGACTAAACGCAGATTAGATTCCATGAATTTTTCACCATATATCATACCCTGTTACTATATTCGCAAAACATAGATAATACTTTGAGAGATTTTTATAAACAAAACAGTTGAGTTATATAAATAGACTTTATCGCGTAGAGTCGGTTTATTCATGCTATCCGGAAAATACACCACATAGTTGTTGATTACTTCCCGCTTCCTGAAAGTTAGTAAGATGAAAACATTCAATTTTGCAGCCGTTATAGTGTGTATCGGGTGGTCAGGTATGTAAACAAGAAGTATTGAGATCTTTGAGAGTATATCTGATCCAGTTTCGGCCCATGTACTCTTACTTATCATCATCATAGGTGAAATGAAATGTCTATGTATTTCTGCACAAATCATTAAAAATTTTGAATATTTAGATTTGGTTGAATTTAATCCAATCACAACTATAGTGCTGATACAAAATAATAAAGGGTGCGTTTTCAAACTAAACAGAGTGCTCCTACCAAAATCAATTTGCCTACATACCCCTGAGACTTTTACCTGATAGATATCATATTCTTCTTCTTCTTCAAATCATAGAATGCACAAATAAAACAAAGTTTTGCTTATACTACTTTTTTCATGGCCTGACTTCGTCGCTAAGATGCTAAATATAAGAGTAAGCTGACGTTTGGGAGTCTGACTTACCTTCTAAAGGTTAGAACCCGAATCTTAATGAAACCATATCACCTTTGTTCCGTCAACCATGGAGCATTTGCCACAACATCCAAGAGGTAAATCATGGACCGAGAAAATGAATGATTTCCTTGTAAGTTCCGGAAGTTTCAATACGAAAAATTACCGAAGATATGTGAAAACCGAATATTTGTTCGTTGTTTTCACGATTTACAGGTTCGTTTGTTCTTCAATGTTTTGGTCTAAATTATAAAGCATCACCAACAGGTCTTACTCTATTAATCGACTAATACAGCAGACGGCTCATATTTCTACGTAGCATTTCATTCAGACCAATAGTGGGAGTGTAGATCACGCAGTTTCGTTCGTTGCGTACTTCACTTGAAATTGGCAATTTTAAATATTGACTACTTCACTTAGCTTGGCGGATGTAGAACATTGCTTAATATTCTTTTAATTTTCACACCAGACATGCTTGGTTGACACGTCAACAAAGTAAAGTTCAAGGGTCAATGCGTTATTTCGTGATAACTACAACGCCTTCCCAGAGGTCAGCATTGATGAAAAATGAAAAAGTCGGAAAAGCATTTACACCAATTTCTATCAAATGCTATGTTTATGCATCATCATCGACGCAACAAAGGTGATATGGTTTCATTAAGATTCGGGTTCTAACCTTTAGAAAGTAATCAGACTTCCAAACGTCAGCTAACTCTTACATTTAGCATGTTAGCGACGAAGTCAGGCCATGAAAAAAGTAGTAGGTAAAAAGTTATCTTAAATTTCAAAGTGATTTTACTGTTAATTCTGTCATTGGTCCTCCATTTTTGCGGAAGATACATGGAAACACAAACTCCATGAAACAACTTATAACTATACAACTTATCAATTAATCTGTATCAGCATTGTAGTAATTATTGTTACGAAAATGGCCTACGTATGGCTATAAACATAGCGCTGGTATGGTAACATGGGAAGGCAGTGCTATGTTTGATAGTAGTCTAAGAGTAAAATTACAATTATTTTATCAGACTCTACAGACCCTACAGCAGTGTAACCAGGATTTGGCAGGAGGGCACAGTCTATATGCAGTTATGATTTGGGCAAGCCCAAATCATTAGTCTATCTACCTTCTCTACAAGTTAAACAATGGAAAATTTAATTTGCCAGAGTACCTTTTTTCTATCGGTCGATTCTCCACGCGATTAATCCCTTGCTCTGTGTGACAAAAAGTTTTTCGGGTTTCATTCACTGGTAAGTGCAGCAATTACACAGATTGTAGTGTCATAGTATCAATTATAGTTATTTACAATTCACAGTCAATTCCCGGAGAAATTTCTTTACTTTTCAGTGTGTAAACGACATTATTCAATTTTTTCATATAGAGTTGTGCAGGAGGGGGTTTCAATATTTTCGGCAAACTTTTTTGGAGCCACCTAACAGTGAATTTGGTGAAAACTTTTCCTTTGCTTTATCTCTGTCTTTGCTTAATCTCTGCCTTTGCCAAATTTGTCCATCATCGCTTTCTACTTGGTCTAGAGACCATGTGGCATAAAAGGTCAATCTGTTTGTCCCATTCATATGTGGTGGCAGTTCATGGCCTGGTGTAAGTCCACGGACCTAATCAGAAAGCTCTGCTTCGTCACGTGACAAATTATTGGAAATATCTGAATAAATTGAGGAGCAATATTGAGAGTAAACTCAGCTGAGGTTTATTTACACAGTGGTCGGTTAAAGCGGGCAGAATTATCAAGGTGAGGTAAGAACAATCGAAACCTTGTGAATCAAGATGAAATTCGTCTAAATTTGCTTTGATTTTGCCAAATTTGCTTGCTTTCGGTCCAATTTATCAAATGGGCCTACACTAGATCATAGGCTTCTCTTGAACTAGAGATACATTGAGTGTTTATTGTAGCCATTAAAACAATGTTTTAAATAGTAGAAAATTAACAGAAACAATGTAGCAACTGGATAGAATTGTTATAATGTGGTTACTCTGACCTGGAATGATTTAATATAATGGTAGCACAACTCTGGAGAAGTCAGCAGCAATTTGTATTTTACTGAAAGTACGCTTCAAAATTGAAAGTTGAATCACAGGAAAATTAATAATGAGAAAAAAAATGAAAAAACAACTCAAATTTACATTTTCATACATTCTTACCTTTTGTTTTTGCAGATTTACTGTTTTTTCAATCTTAGTAGCTTAAAACAAGCAATACATATCACTAACTCTGTAATACTACACTAGTGGGTCGTCTTATTAGTCTATAGAGCCGATAATGGCGGTTTCCAAATTCGCTATAGCGTAACCCAAAACGAGACTGGTAAGAACATCCATGAATGATGAGAATTTTCGTAAAAAGTGGGAGAAGCTAACTTCCACTATATAAATAGGCCCCCCATAAGAAGTCACTTCAATATTTCTGGAGGGGGTTAGAGTGACTGTACCAGGCCATCCAACTGTCCCGTAATTTAGGTATTTGTCACACATTTGCTGGAAGATTTGAAGTCACACCAGTTTTTTTTTGTGTGACAGAATATGTCACGCAAATAAGCATTTTACCTGATTATTTGGTCGAGCAAAAATATTTCTGTAGAAAAACGAGCATAGGAAAAAAAAACAATTTCGTTCGGACTTTTCACGCGGATACCGAATACGTCAATCATTTTCCTCGAAACATTTCATTCATATAACATAGGATAATAACACTTTCTCCAATTTTCAGATTATTATTAACATGATAGCGATCAGATGATTATTAACATGGTCATGAATGGGTATCTGAAAATGTGGTAGGGGGAGGTCTTGACATCAACAGATTTAGCTGAAATTGTTTGTGCTTGCTTTCCTTTAGTTAGAGTGATCCGAAAAAAAGATGTAAAAAAATGAAGCATCCTAGTAGAGCCATTTTGTAAAAAATATTAATGCTTGCCCGTAGCCAGCTTTTTCCAGGGGGGGGAGCTTTTTCCCAATTTTGGCTAAAAATCATGCGAAAAATTCTCAGAATGGTGAAAAACTGCATGATTTTGAAAGAATTTCTGGCCAGGGGGGGGAAGCTTCTGCTCCCCCAGCTCCCCCTCTGGGTGCGGGCCTGAAATGTATTTATTTTTAGAAGCTATATAGCGGTAATTAATCAATGGATGATTTGTATTTTTGCCTGGCGATTTGAAAATGACATAAAACCTAAATCAATGGAGATAACACCATTATATGTTTACACATTATTGGAAACATATGTATAAATCATATGTTTTATGTAAATACATGCAAGTACTGGTACATTCATTTTTTGAGAGTTTGTCAAATATGGTCTAAAAAATGTTTGACTGGTCTAAAATATGATGACTGGCAGTGTTGTCTGCACTTGGCAATGGATTCCAATGGAATTTGGTGTCTCAGAATCGATTCAGATGAAGAATAAAGACAGATTGTTCTTTCTTTTTCAGTTGTATCATGCCTGGATATCCAGATAGACAATGCTGGAGGTGATATGGTTAAACAGACAGGACAGACCGTTGAGCTTATGTGTAATATCTTATACATTGATGCATCTACAGCAGATATAGCCGGTAACCCTGTTACTTGGGAGAAATTGTCCCGTCGAGATAACCCCTTGTATACTATTATCTCTACTGGTTCAAATAAAAGAGGTGGTGTACCTGATCACATCAGTATTGACTTTGGTGATTATTCAACATCAGTTCCGAATACAAGTGGAATAAAAAACTCACTCAAGATATCAGGTAACCATTTTTTTTTTATTATTAGTTTATTGCAATCACTTTTAGATCAGTGGCACATAGATAAACTAGTGCGGCAGTTAAAAACATACAATACATGTGTACAAGCACAATTCTAAAGCAGAGCTAAAAACATTTGCAACATAACATATAAAAACAAACCTAAAACATACCAATTGCTTAAACATTTCTGATGAATTAGCAACTGAAATTTCCAAACTAAACCACTTATAGTACAATCATTCCATAATATATTGTATATTATTTGTTAACATCAACAACCAAACTTGTAAATAATAAAAAAGACCTCAGTAAACACGATAACCTTCCTATGAAAAATGGAGATTGTGTTTAATACAGTGTACCAAATTTGGACCAAGCGGGTGTTACAGTTACTTACCAAACCTCATCATACTACGGGCATTTTAGGATCTGCTTTTCGCTGATCATTGCGCCAAAGGAGGAGGATTTTGGCTATTTTCTGAGGATGCTTTTTCAATTTTTGTTGCATCAAAATGTTGCATTTTAAGACACAGTTAACCCCTTTAAAGGAATAAGTAACTCCTCTTTGATAAAGTAGAAAACAATATTTCCCATGTTATTTTCCCATAGGGAAAACGCATGCGATCCATTGCTTTCATCTAATTTTGGTCACACATAATGGATATCTTTAAAACCCCTGAAGGAGTTACTTATTCTCTTGAAGGGTTTAATTGGGTGTCAAAATGCAACATATTGATGCAAAAGAAATTGAAAATGCAGGGGTGGATGGAGTCCAAAATCAGGAAAACATTTCAGAAAAAACATGCGGGTGGGGTGTTTGCATCTTCCCTGTTTCAAAGTCAAAATTATTTCATCATCTCTATGAGTGCTTTTCCTGGAGATAATGCATTGGCCTAACATATGCACCTGTTTAAATCCTCAGAAAATAGCCAAAATCTAACATATGACTGTCCGGAATATGTTGCGCTACTTTCCCTCCTCCTTTGATTATAATCACAGCTTCAAACCTAAGTTATTCTGCCACAGTCCAAACTGCAGAGCAAACTCACTGTATCTTGAGGTCTGGTTTACACTTGTGTGTCAAAATGTAGGTGTTATCATATGGTGTATTCCTTCCTTTTATTGATTTCTTCTGTTATTTTCTCTTTCAGGACTTGAAGCAGGAGACAATGGAACATACGCCTGTCTTGCTGGAGATGTGAAAATCGAGTATAATCTTATCATTCCATGTAAGTAAAATCATCAGGATCTTCATGTTTACATGTTTGTATATGTACAATACAGGCCCATAGCCAGGGGGAGTGGCTGGCCAGAAATTATTTCAAAATCATAGTTTTTAGGTTTAAAGTTTTTTATTATCATTTAAACAAAACAAATTACAAACACAGCAAGGGTCGAAGCAATGCATTAAATTTTTCACCATTTATTGATTTTTTGCCCAGAACTGTCAAAATTGAAAAGCCCCCCCCCCCCCCCATTGATAAAACTGCTTTCCCTTGGTAAAAGCTTGCTATGGGCCTGCAATGTGTGACTGTATGAGCGTAAGGGATACTATAGGCATGGCTGAAATAATATATACAAGTTTACAATTGTAATTATTACCAGTGTTTTATATTATTATAATGCAACAAAGCAATAAACTATGAATATATATGACGTGTGATACTTTTGACACAGTTTCAAGCACATACACAGAAATTTCTATTAGAAGTGCTCTTGCATGGGTTAAGTTTCACAATTGTAACAGACTTGATAAAACAGTACACCAGAAAAAGAACTATTTCTTACTTGTGGTTTCAATGCATTTTAGCTCCAGTTGAGGCTGTTGTACTTGATGATTCTAAGACCAATGTTACCACTCAACTGCAAACATTTGAGTACACTGAAGGTGAAACCAGACCTCTCAACTGTACAAGTCATGGTGGTTCACCAGATGCAAAGGTATGACTCGCTTCTTGAAGTTTCTCATTCTTGATGATAGCAGACGTAATATGCCTGAATGTCTTCTTTTGAATAGTCATAATTTAAATTGGGTAATATTTCTAGATTTTTCGCAAAAGAATATTAGTGCAGTACACTGATGAACTTCTTTCCCCAAATCGAGACTTGTATTTTATTAAATCGGTCTAATTGAGCGTTATCCCTACTTCAGACCAATTTGTTATTTTTACATCTTGTAGATTTAAATGTCCTCTTTTGAATATTCATAGTTTAATTTGGGTAATATTTCTATATTTTTCATGAAAAAAATTATTAGCCCAGGAGACTGTTCTCCAAACCGAGAATCGTCCTTTGCCATATTGATGTAAAACCTCCAATGAACACTTATGCTGTTTCAACTTAACACCTTTCAACTATGATAAGAATTAGCTAATAACCAACTTGTATGTTTCTTTTTCTTTTTTATTTATTATAAAGCTGAAAGTCACATTCGATGGTGTTGATAAGACATCTGAAATGGTCTCTTATCAAAAATGGTACTTGGAAAACCCTGAAAGTGCCTTTGAAGCTGCTAAAGTTGCAGTGAGCCGGTGAGTGTAATTTTACAGTCAATAAATAGTCATTTGATTAACATTTTCTTCAATTTAAAAAGTGAATCAGGTTGAATGTAATTTTGCATCATATGTTGTAAAAAAAAATATTGTTCAAAGATTGTAAATTTTGAGTACAATGTGAATTATTTTTGTTCTGATTTTATATATTCTACATCGATATCATAAAAGCATTAAAGGATACATCCCTAGAAATCACCTTTTCTCTTTTTGTGTTAAAAAGGTATAATTGAGAAGAAATATCGATATGAACAAAAGATAATAAAAAAAGACATTTGACTTAGATTTAAAAAAAAATTAATGGAAAACCAACGATGATGTAGCATTTATGTTTTCTTAGTGCTGTGAACTATGAGGCAAAGGGAGAGGATAACTTGAAGATCATCAGATGCACAGCTAGTGTAGATGGGTTACCCAACAGTAACAAGTTTGCAGAAGCAAAAATGCACATACAATGTAAGGAAATGGGACTTTCGAAGTTCATGGAAAAGATTCTTGTTTAGGGTCACCATGCTTTCAAATTTTAGACCTACCCGTATGAATTATTTTCATTCTTCGATTATGATTTGCAAGCATCAGTTGAATGGGGAACCACCTGGTCTACTTTTTCTTGGAATTTCTGACACTCACTTGGTGACCCACAAACACGAACTTTTCCCCCGATCTTAAGCATCACAATTCTTTCATGTTTCTACTTTAGGTTTTGTATCAGGATATGTCAATATGTGAATTTTACATTCTATAGTCATTCTTGACACACTTTGTTATCTAGGTAACTTTTTGATTCACTTTGAAAATGTTTGAATAATTATAATGATTTTTCAGTTTCTCCTATGTTTGTAAACTGCTCAGAGAAGGTAGCGGCCAATATTGGAGATGAAAATGTCATCTATGAATGTGAGACGAGGTAAGTACTTTATCTGTAATCACCAAAAGAGCATCAATTATAACTAACTAAAATTAACTTTTGGGTCAAGGCTAAATCATTAACTAAAATAGCATTTCCATATATAATATGGATAATAAAAAATTTTAGCCCAGGATGCATTATTGTAAATTGAAACCACATATGAATTTTCCATTTCGCGGTTCGCTGTTTGAATCGGAACATTTGCAAATATGGAGCAAATATGTACTCAAAAACGACTAAATTTGATTGGTCAATATTCTCCTACGATGCCTTTTGCGTAGCTATTTGCGTGACCCAAAAGTTCTAAATCAAACTAATTACGCGAATTTGTTTTTACACCTGTACGCTTAATAAAATAAAACAATGACACCATCGGAAGTATTCTTCTTTGTCATTGCATTAATAGTAAGTATACTGAGTTTTATCAATAAAAGAATGTACAATGAACAACAAAATTCTGAAATGAGTACTATAGATTTGCTTTCGAACCACTGAACAGATTGACCTAGATAATAGCGATGCGTCTTCTTTGGTCAACTGCTCAGTTGTTTGTGGATTTTCAAAGTAACTCTATAATGTAATTTGAAGATGAGTACTTTTATTCAGTTGTTGCATCAATGTTGCAGTTTGTAGTGCCGTAAGATTGGCATGAAAGTGTTTAAAGTCGAATGGTATTGTTTTTTCCAATATTGCAACTAGTGAACTGATAATGTGACCTTCTCTTCCGGAATATTTTCTCACTTTTCAATCATAGTTTTCACCATGCTATGAGTATAATGAAAAAAATATCTGTTTTATTAAGATTAATAAGAGATCAATCGTTTCTGATAACTATTCTGTCTCTCATACGGGAATATGTACGAATATATCGTTTGAAAAATGGTGTGAAAATCCACATGTTAAACTTATGAGGGAAAACAAGAAAGTATAAATTTGTTCCTCCGTGAACTGCATCATGGAAAATATTTTGCCCTTACAAGGAAAGATTTTTGCGTCTCCTCTTTCGAAGAGGGAACAACGATCTGCTCAATTGAATTGAATTGTTAATGAGACAAAGTTGAGTGTTAGAATGTTCTGATATTAAAAAAGTCACTTTGAAATACAACCCCTTGTTGGCTTTTTATGATTTTGACCTCTATTGGTCCCAACTAAATAACAACAACCTTCAAAACAACACTGATAGTTTCTCACATTGAATATTTTAAAATTCAAGATTCCAACCCTTGAGTCATTCAGGAAATACTGATTCAAATGGTCTCAATTTATTATTTGTTAAGGAATCAAAACGAAAGGATAGGTATCAATATGTTGAACTGAATTAAACCAATTATTGAAAACGTTCTGTAAAAAAAAAACACGGTCCTTTATGTAATGTTGACTGATTGACAACAATTTAATGTGAAAATTATTTATATATACAGGGTGTCCCTAAAGTATGGCCCCCCCCCCTAGGCAGACATATACCAGTGTTGTCATAGTATATGTCATATATCATTTTAAAGCTTATCCAAAGTTACATTGATTCGCCAAGTGTCATGGTTCAACTGTTCAACTCTCAAATGTGAAAAAATTACAGGCATTTCAACATTTAGTGCTTGGTCAAAATTAAGTTCAATTTTACACAAAATCACTTGTCAATGTGTCCTCCTGGGCCATCTTAACAGCAGCAATTCTTTTCGGGTCGGATGGATATTGAGTTGGAAAAAGAGAATGGTGGAATAGAAACTCTAAGGAAGCTCTTCTAAAGTGCTTTAACATGTTTTAAGAGGGTTATAAAATTCCACATCCCTATTTGAACGACTTTTAAGGTCATATCTGAAAATAATTGCTGCTGTTAACTTGGCCAAAAGTGTACTTGTACTTGTATGGCTATGTATGAGTGCACATAAAAGAACACAGGAACACAGGGCTCCTTCAAGGAGGGGTTCCTGGGTCTGCCTTCCATGATTACAAGCGTTCATAATGACCATACATATACGGGAACCCATGAGGTATTGCTCACCTTTATTGGTGGTAAATAAAATACAATAGTCCACCCGCTATGGCTCTGGCAGAGAGAGTCAAGATTACCAATATCGCTTGGCCCCGGGTTCGATTCCCGGTTCAGACAAGTTGTTTGTGCGTTATGTAATTCTGGGTGTTTGACTGAGTGGTTCACGACTCGTATACAAGGCTGTGGTGTGTACCTGTATGTCTGTGTACCTGTGCACATAAAAGAAAACAGGGCTCCTTCAAGGAGGGGTTTCTGGCTCTATCTTCGAGTGTAAAAATACGTAAATTACGGAATATACCAATGAGGTATTGCTCGTCAAAATATGGCGGTAACCAAGATATAATAATATAATAATAATAATAAATAATAATACAATAAACAATATTTTATAGGTGTGACCCAGCCCCTACTAAGGTCTTCTTTATTACACAGACAAATGCTGAAATGATAGCTGAGATCGACCATGAAAATACAGAAGAAAATTTCGCTGCCACTTATATCGTAAGTTTGATGCCATTATAACAGTTAACAATAGAAAACAAGCGCAATCTATAAAGTTCTGAGGTGTAACACTGGACTAAAATTGTTACATACAAAACATTCATTCCAAAATTAACCAATCAATTTCATGTTACTAACCTTGTATTCGCGAATGCAACTAACCCCTGTCGGCTACTGGATTGACCTTCTATTTTATGACCAACTCATTTAAACATGGAAGGAATAGTGGCAAGCACTAGTCATATTTAAATGAGTTTCCAGTAAAATAGTAGGTTAATCCGGTAGCTGACAGGCATTAGTTGCATTCGCAAACATATATTTGTACAAGCTTAGTTAATAGATAAAACTTAATATTTAATTTCAGAAAAATGAAGGAGATTCTTATACTATAAGGTTCACTTTCTTAGAGTTGACAGATGCTGATCTTGGATATCTGTTTCAAGCTTGTGTAAGAAATACCCGTGGTGCCAAATGTATGGAATTCACACCTACAAGTAAGCTTCATTTAATGTGCCGAGTTGCTAATAAAGCAATGGAAATATTATATATTTAACTATGAAACTGTCATATAATGGTGCGTCTTGGGAAACCAATTTATATTTTTATGTGGGAGAAGGCTCAATTAATATTTTTGTGGTAGGTTCCTGTTTTACCCTCAGGAACAGATACTTGGAACCGACAACTTGGGTTCTGAACATTTAAGAATTCATTATTTACCATAAAAAACATTTGCCTGCAATGAGCAAAGTCAAAGAATATACATATTTTATATTTCACAAGTTTTACATTACATCTGATTGGCAATATTTGTTGATAAATAATAATGACTTTTGGCAGTTGCCTCCACTCCCTATTATGAATGGTATTCTGGCCAGACCTGCCTACTATTGCCATTTATTAATTCATATATATCATGTCCCTTATTTCAAAGCATGTTCCAAAATAGATTCTGATTATATAGACCTTACCTGCCCTCGTCTAAATGATCCCAGAAATTCAGTAACAACTCCCAATAAAAATAGATAGAAATTCTGACCTGGTGTTTGATAATGCTTTCATGAATCATAAATGCTCTATTTATATTCTTTCATACAAATGAGACAATACTATAAGTTATTGAATAATTTGAAGTGCAATACAGGATATATTCTGCTAGAGAAATTCTGTATTGGAACGAGACAAAGTCGAGTGCCAATGCAGAATATCGAGACAGAATATATCCTGTATTGCACTTCAAATCATTCAACAAAGTTTTTATCGTGTGATCCTCTGTCACTGGGGGGTATCGTGATGCAACAACACCGTGTTGTTGCATCAAGATGGCCAGACTTCCAGTGATAGATTTTCGTACGATATGTTGTTTCCCCAATTTAAACCCATTTCTAGGACGAGTTTCTCAATAACCATACACGTGAAGTTAGCGCACGATATATATTTAAAGAAACTGTCATTAGTATACATGTAGCATCATCAAGAAGCAAGAAGTTCACGGTTTTAGTTCCTCACTATTGATGCAACAACACCAAACCGAAGATGCAACAACACTCCTCTAGATTTGAGCAATGATGCAACAACACCAATTAATAGTATAATTTCAGAAGACCATAAATCTCGAGAGGAACAGATTTTTAAATGCTACTATTGCAACACCGGGCCAGTACCCATTTGCGTTCTTCTCAGGCATTCAAAATACACGTCCTGCGGGCGAAGATTCTTTATATGTATTTTCAAAAATTTATACTTTTAAATATCATAATGTACTGGAAGTTGTTTTAAAACATAGTTCAATCGCCTTTAACATTGCAAGCTATAGTAACCCAATCTATTATCATAAACCCCTGTTCCATAGTTTGATGACCCTGATACCAGTTAGTATCATTCAAAATGGTGGGCAAACATCTTTCGTTCTCGGTAAACACGACGAGCTATTGGAAATCTTGCACGGCGCACATGTAGAAGTATTGTTCTCTTTGGATTCGTTCTCCCCGATTGAGTAAAAAGGTAGGTAATAGGATTTAGGTCCCGAAAAGGTAAATTAATAGGGGTACAGTAATCCCAGATTCCCCCTGGGCCCTCGGGAAATATCATAATGTGTCCCGGAATAAAACCAATATTGAATCCCTCTCAGTAAATAACCTCTATATAATAGCATTGTATAACTGCAATATCATTAAACCTACACTCATCGGAAGTTTTGGCGTTTTGAAAACTCAAAATCGCTAAATTTGGTGCCCCATGTTAAGTCAAAGGGAAAAAATATTTTTTTGAAGTGTAAAATACGACATATATCAACCGAGTACAGCTTAATTTAATGAAAGCTTTTAAATGAAGGGTACCTCAAAAGCAATCTAGCTTCAAAATTTGGACACAAAAATGTCTAGGTCAAAATCTAGGTCAAATTCAAAAGTTTTCCTTATTTTTGTGATTCTGACACTACACTTCAATTATATTCTTCGAAATTGTGTATACATGTAGCCAACTGACGGCAAAGGGCTAACACTATTAGTACACTGTACTAATAGTGTTAGCCCTTTGCCGTCAGAAAGTATTTTAACCCACTTTTGAGATATGGTGTCCAAAAAGTAGGTCAAAATAAAAAATTCACCAAATTTAACGTTTGAGTTATGAATGAAGAATAGAATTTTCTCAGGAATCAGAATCTGCAAACCAAATTTCGATCCGACTTCCGGTTCGGAAATTATGGCGTTTTGAAATTTCGAGAAAAATCGATCTGATGGTATCCTGATAGAAAGTCAAGGGTAGCCATCCTTCCTATCCTATCCTATCCTATCCTACTATTCTATCCTATCGTTCCTTCTTTTTCTATCCTATCCTTCCTAGTTCCTATCCTATCCCTTTTATCCCTATCCGTTCCTTCCTATCTATCCTTCATATCCTTTCCTTCCTATCTATCTATCCTTCCTATCCTTTCCTTCCATTCCTTCATATCCTTTCCTTCCTATCCTTCCTTGCTATTCTATTCTATCCTATCTTTCTTCTCTATTCTCTCCTATCGTTCCATCCTATTCTGTCCTATCCCTCCTTCCTATTTCATCCATCCATCCATCCATCTTTTTCTGGATGACTCAGCTTAAAAAAGTCCAAATCTGGAGTCTGAAATTGAACTCGTTCAATTTCCAAAGTCTAGTTATATTAGTTCTTTGTAAACAATTTCCATACGATACGGTAAATCAGGGGATTTAATATAGCAACTGAATAATCTTTATTTTTCAGATACAATATCAATGTTGGCTCCCGGGGATTCAATACTTAGCCTATGTATTTAGTTTACCTTGTATATCCTTTTAACTTTGATAACGTAAAGACAAATACATTATAAGGAACCAAACAAAATACGTTTCATTCATGAATCACGCACTCACGCGTTTTATTCATGTCCCGACCAACACCTACGAGATAAACAGAACGTGAAACAGTTTCGCTTGATATTCAATGATACATTATATTGGCGTTTTTGCATCAGCACATTGGTGTTGTTGCATCATCGATGATAAACAGAGTGGTGTTGTTGCATCAATAGTGAGGAATTAAAAAAAATCTATCACCGGAAGTCTGGCCATCTTGATGCAACAACACGGTGTTGTTGCATCACGATACCCCCCAATGCTCTGTATTGCTACTGAGATTGTCCCCTCCGTACCAATATTTTCTGTATTGCGACAGAGATGATCAATGGGGACAATCTCAGTAACAATACAGATTGGTACAGCACAAGAACTGACCAATCAGAGGGCATCATTTTACAGATCATACGATAAAATACAATACAACACAGTACAATACAATACATGTATCACAATGTTAAAAATACTATGTTAGAATTTGCATTCATTTAAATATATATTTTGTGTAATTTCAGAACCTGATACTGGTAAGTGTTCAAATTTTGTTTTGAATAGCCTTATATATTTAATAAAATCAAAGCCTTATATTAAAATTAAAATCAAAGCCTTACATGTACATTCAAAGTTTACTCTGTTTTAGTTGAGTGACCAATCTTGAATCACTGCAATCATATTTTTCTTATCAGCATAATTTCTAGATACATTATCTTATGGAATCCCTTTTTTAGGCAAAACAACATGACTCTTAGTTTAGATGATTTTGAATAAGGTGAAGGTCAAAGCACAGGAAAATGTTGAAATTAACAATAAGAATTGCCATTTCAATATCCACAAGCCTTCAAGAGTGGTTCTTATTTTACTTTCACAAAAAATCCTTATATTTTAATTCCCACTATTACTATACAGAATATATTCATGAAAAATTTAATAATAAAATACATGTTTTACCACGTTAAAACCCAGGTCAATATATGATATGTTGAATCATAAATTGAATTGAAGTTATAATAGGATTTATTTGTGCCAATGCTCTTAGGGGAAATGAACATTTAGAATTGCAAATACATGTATCAATTCTGGATTTATTAATGATTTATTACCACAGTTAAAAAGTTGTCAGCTTAGCGGTTGGTAATATCTCACTTTTCTTGCTATGTGCATTTCTTGTGCATTTCCAGATAAAATACATATAACTCTTTTAACAAATTCATTCTAATTTCAATGATGTTTTTGGAATGAAAATCAAGACCTGGTTAGTTCTTCGGTTTGCTTTGTATGGGGCTATTTTGAATTTTGAATTCTGTTGTCTACCGTTGACTGTATATATAAATTCTCATATTTGACTATATGTATGACATATGATATTGCTCATCCTTTGCTTTTTAATGTTTAATCATTCGACATTGTATGCACTTAATATATGCAATACTTAAAAAGATACATATATTGATCTTATCTCTACATATGGAAACAATGTCTTAACCTTTTCAATATCATGAAAATTTGTGCACAAAAGAGTTGTGTCACAAAAGAAAAAGTCTTCTTCACCAAATCATGTTAAATTAATGTATCATCATGTATCATTCACTTTCTAGGTTCCAGTAGCTCTGGAAATTCCAACAGCGTCGGTATGACCTTGACCTTATCCCCAACTTGCAGTGTCATGGTTTTCATGAGATTCTCTCACTTTTGCCAATATAATGATAGTCCTACTGTAACCTTGTTGTCATCTTGAATTACAATTCTATTAATGGCAACAAGACTGACCTCTACAATATTTTTGTCCCCAATGAAAACTTCTTTCTGTTTGTCCATTCATCAGAGTGTCTATGTCTATCTGAATGCTGTTCCACTATAATGTTAATTAATTAAAGAAAAGTACATCAGAACGTGGAATTCATTTCTGGGACATTTTGAACATTTTTCTTATTCTTATTTCCAAGCAATCAAACAGCAATATTAAAATTTTTGTCTGTTCTCCAGAAAAAAAATTATGTTTCTTATGATAATAAGAAGAGACAATCTTTTCAGATAGGTTGAGCTTTATGGTTTCAAGCCCATGCCTTTCAGATGCTCATCTTTGCTTCTTGTTTGGCTTCTCGTGAGGCAGTGGTCCCTCCTGCATTAATATATAAATCCATTGCACTCACTTCAGGAAACCCATTTGCAACCAATTGAAAATGAGAAAAATTGTAATAATTTGCCTCTATCGATCAAGTTCAGAATTGTGAAAATGAAATTGTTGTACCCAATCATTTGTTAAAATCCAGGAAAGATTACAGTGCTATGTTATATTTGTAATTTTAGAGTAAAACATGACTACCATGGCATTGTATTATGAGTGACGAGTTATCTTATCAATTAACCCAGGAATGGTTTGGTATCATCTTAGCACCTGGCCATCTAACTTAAAGCCTAACACATATTGTATAACATTATAATTCATAACATGGTTGCCATTTTCTCACATTTTTCTCACACATTTTTTCGGTTGACTAACATCTTGAAATGAATTAGTGTAAGTTTTGGGGTATTGCTGTTTGTATTATTTAGAATTAGAAAGCATGCATTTATATTTTTGGGAAATGCCTTCATTTATAAGGTTATTTGACAGTCATTCTGAAAAAATGGGTCCAGTTTTTCGATTCAAATTAATTTGGACATTTCTGCTTCATAAGTCTTCAATTACTTGCACATTTGAGTAAACATCTCAGATCCTTTTTTTCTGATCTAAAATAGATTCAGAAGTGACATATTCCAATATTTATTGAAGGATACTTTCAATCATATAAACTGTTCATCCTATGTTCTCCCATGAATTTTTTTACATGATAGCCCTTATCTCTATAATTTACAAGTATGTGTTTAAATTTGACCATTCATTGAAATACCATGTCTCAGAATGTCTTTTGACCAATCCAAGACATCATACATACATACATGTATATACATTTGTTTTCAGGAGAAACGTCAGATAGGAATGCTGCAAGTTCCATGTATCCGATGTATGCCATATTGTACACATTTGTACTCCTGGTAGCCACCTCTCTGTAGATCAAGCACTTTATCCACTGCTTCATGCTGGCTCAAGATCTGTCTTACATCAGCAAAAGTAATTTCAACTCTCCTGGATGAACATTCGTTACAATGTCAACTACTACTTGAACCTATCTTTTACAAACATGTGAACACATTCTGAACTGTAGTAAGATCATTTAGAGTCAAACCTATCTACAAAATGCAACTCAAACATTCCCTGAAATATTTCATATGTTATTTTATGAACATTTATTCAACAGATATTCTGTAGAAAATTTTTACATTCCAATGGAATAACTTCCAAAATTGACTTTTCTCATCCTTATAGTGAGAATGTATGGACCACAGTTTTATATTATCTGAATCTCCTTTCTCAGCATTTCTCAGCATTTACTTTGAAAGATATGGAGTCCAATGAAGACATCACTCATATTTATAGGTTAAAGACTTTGAATATTTCCCAAGAACAAAAATAAGTTGATGTAGGCATTTAGCAGTGGCTCAGCTTCTCTATACATTCTATCAAAGTTACATTTGAAAATCTGATCCTAGTACATGTATAATGCATTTGAAAGTCAACAATCAATATCAGGGAAGTTAAGAATTCCAAAATAATTTACATATACAATACCATAAAACCTTAATTTAATAAGTACTATGTGTATCCACTATTAAAACTAGATATAGGTATTTTCATATTTTAGAAGTGAGATATATTGCATCTTGTGATTGCGTGCCTTGTTAAGCCCTCATTTCTACAAAATCTCACTCCCAATAGATTTCAAAGCAATATCTTGTATACAGTAAATACATATCATTAATTCACTAAAGTGCTATTTGTCATTCTGGACAGAATTCTTAGCCAATAGAACATTTATATTAGTCATTGCTAATTTATATTTCTAAACACATTTACATTCCATAGTATTTAATTATACACCATCATTGTATTTTTGTATTTCACCCTGTGGTGGAGGAACAGACATATTGTGACTTAAAATGAGGAATTACATTGATGAACTTATCACGAAAATTAAAAGTAATTTCTTCTCAAAGTCACCATACCTAAAATTGTTCTCCTTCATAGGGTGTAAGTATGAGTTATTCACCATGAGGGATTAGATATAGGTTATATATCCCAAGGGCTCCAAGTGCCAACCATATTACCCATTGCAATACTGGATTGGGAAGTTCTTAAAATGAGCTGAATGCAATGAATCTTTATTTTAATGATAGATCTAGAATTACATTATGTTAAAAATCTTCATCTATATACTGTGTATATCTGCTTCAAATAGGCTAATTCCCTATATCTATCCCAACTAGTGAATAACAGATTTATCCTATGGTCACCAGAGGGCCTGCATAAAACATTCCCTGGAATCAGAGTTCAGTGTTTGGTTTTCATACCAAGCTTGCATTTATTGCAAAAAATCTATTCATGTATTATATGCCTTGTGATCATGGGATAATAGACGATACATTTCTATTGTTATCGAGCTTTTTGTTTTCATCAATGCAGCAAGTTATATTATCTATGTGTCGGACTGATTGAAGTAAAATTGTACCTCTTGGAGTCAAAGAAGGTCTGAATATTTATATATTAACATATTTTATACTTTCTCTAGTACATTTAACTTTTATGTATATAGAAAATCTGGTCTAAAGATGACATTCCATTTCTATTTTTAAAGGGGTTGTTGTATGGCTGAGACAAGGATGAATGCCTTTGCTAAGATTAGATATTAATAGACCACAATTGTGTCCATATGAACATTATGAGTTACAAATCCAAAGATATTATTTTATCGTAAGCTAGATTTTTGTAAGTTTTTGATACACCAACAAAGGCTGTAAGATCTATTGATATGCACATCTTGGCAGGCATAAAGTATAATCATCCAAATTATTGAATTTATGCTTGAAGTATGCCTTTTTGGAATTCTATTTGAGTTCAATAGTAAAACGAGTTTATTGCAAAACTTACTGGTAATCGATGTACTTAAAGTGTTCACATTAAAAATGTTTAGTACATCAGAAAGTCAGATTCAGCTTTCTCTTGAAACAATATCAACTTTTCGTATTTTTAAATGCTGTACAAACAATTTTAACTTTTCGTATTTTTAAATGGTGTACAATGGTAATGTTTTCTAGAATATTCTATATACTAGTACTATATATATTTATGTATTTCATATATCTTTACATACATATATAAAAAATGGAGGGAAAGATATTGCTGATAGTATATGGTTTAGATCTGAGGTTAAAGTAGTGTTTGGCTTTTATTTGGATGATTTATGGAAATCATTTTTTTAATGAATTAATTGTATATATGGTGTGGCATTTCACATTTATTTTACATGTGCCTAACATGTTTTAGTGTTAACTGCTTGCTTATCGTGTCAAGCTTTGTAATAATTATATTAAGTACTGTTTGTATGCAAAGATGCACATATTTAAACCAACGCGTAGTTAAGCTCCAAGACTCTCAATCCTTGTTTTTAAGGATTTTATGACTTTTTAACAACAGCACTATTGAGCACTATGTTAGACTGAAAGAATAGCTGCACTTTTGGAGCCTATGTATTTCAACTTTTATAAGGCAGCCAGAATTTTGCCTGATGGTTCACTTATTCTTGCTTTTAGACAAGCACAATTTATATGAAATTAATCCAATAATTTGAATCACTGTTTGTCATTTAACTGTATTTTGTTATTCACTGGATCAGATTCTAACAAATTGACTATTACCCTTAAGAAAAAAGCCATGGTAACCATGGTATTCCATGGTGCGTCCATGGTAATCCATGGTTTTCCATGGAAATTCATGGTTTTTCATGGTATTTTCCATGGAAATTCATGGATACCCATGGTAATCTTCCATGGATATTTACCATGATTTTCCGTGGTAATTGGTGGTTTGGTAATTGTTTTTTCATGAACATGCCATGTTTTTACCATGACACTTGAGTTGTAAAATCAACAATTTTGGCAGGTTTTGTTTTTACCAAAATCTTCAAAATTGAATCAATATTTTAACGAATGAATCCAAGCTGGATTGAGAATTAGTCTCATTAATCATAGATAAAAGAATATGACACCCCCCCACCCCAAAATCTTTGAGAAAGTCAACCTTCTTGACAAAAGCTGGTTTCAGGCCTGAAGTACAACCATGTTTTTACAATCTGAATATATGTTTAGTACATTCTGTACATAGTGTCATATGACAAAGAACTGTTTACTTAATATTTTTTAATTGATGATTTGACCCCACAATTAAAAGTAATAATTTGTTTGCTGGGATTTGCTATCATTTAACTTTGGCACTTATGTAAAAAAAGACAAAATAAGTGATAAAATCAGCTCACTGAATAAACATTTTTACTTGGAGTAAATCCTATTTGGTTTTATTTGATCAACAATGAGTTTTTGACTTGCACTGTCTACACTCACAGACAATAATAATTACTGAAGAGGGAGCATTAGAAAGAGTAAGATTATCATATATAATAACAATTAAGATCAGAATATTTAAGAATTATGCAAATGAACTCTTATAATCTGTTTTAAAGAGATTAATCTTTTGACATTAATTTGAGAGTTAAGACACCTAATTAACATAGAATAATGGCAACCAAATATTTAAAAATTATGCAAATGATTATTTATTCCTATTCAAAGACAAATCAATTTTAATTACTTATACTATGTTTCATGTTTTAAGCCAAATGGTGTTGTTAACCCCCTCCCCTTCCTTCATGCAACTTCTTTTTAAATATAATATTCTTACATAGACAAATTGAATTTTTATCACTTAGGTATAACATTTCAGTTTGCAGCCATAGGCTTGTGTTTAATCCCCCATCTCAATTTCAAGTCAAAATTCTGTAAAAGTATATACTTTTCTGTGGATTTTTTCAGATAATATGCTTATAAAAGTTGAATGGGACTTAATTTGGAGAAGTTCATTTAGAAACATAATGTATTATTCATTTTTCTGCTTCCAAAAGACCAAACAAATAGCCCATGGAAAACCATGGACTTTCAAAAGATCAAAAGAATAATCATGGAAAACCATGGCTTTTGATTGCACTTTCCAAAACATCAAAGAAATAACCATGGAAAAGCATGGCTTTCGATTGCAATCAACCGTCTTCCATGGCTTTTGATTGCAGTTTTCTCAACTTCAAAGAAAGAAACCATGGTTTTTGATTGTACATGTATTCTCAAATGTACGAAATGTAATTTAAGAAAATGAGTTATTTATTTCTTAAATTACTTCATATTGATTTTTAAAACTGAAAATTAAAGAAAGTATTGAAATAAAGCAGAGCTTGGGCTAGTTTGTCTTAATCTTTTTCAAAGGAAAGAAGTGTTTGGCCTAAAAAATAAGCAATCTCTATCTAGTCTTGATCTACACAAAAGACCTTTGCACAATTGTTTTTGAAATCTTGTGGCCTACTCTCTGCTCTGCTGTTTCACATATTTTCTCATTTGTAAGCTGAGTCTAACATTCGATGAATGTTCTTGCTATACCTTCAAAATGAAATGTCCACCCTTTTTTCTCAATGATAAGTCTCAGTCTAACTGGGATATATCATCAAAACATTCATTTTGGAGATTTTGGTGAATACAAATTCTACCAAAATTGTTGATTTTACATCTCCATGACACATCCATTAAAAACCAATTACCAAACCAACAATTACCACGGAAAATCATGGTAAATATCCATGGAAGATTACCATGGGCGTCCATGAATTTTCATGGAAAATAACATGGAAAACCATGAATTTCCATGGAAAACCATGGATTACCATGGGCGCACCATGGAATACCATGGTTACCATGGCTTTTTTCTTAAGGGTATTTGAAAATCATTGTGAGAGAAAAGTAGCAAATACTGTCCCAGACATAATTACAGTTTAACGTTATAGTAAGTGTACATGTCTTATGCGTGATAATTGAGTCAAAATATGTGTTCCTTTTTGTTTGTAATACATTAATTATTAAGAATACTATACAGTGGACTGCTGGCTGTGTATATGTATACAAATAAAAGAGTTGGGTAGGGTACTCCATTTTTCTATCTGGGCATAACCCAAATAACAATAGCATTGATATTTTAGTCTAGTAGGAAGGTATGGTTCCCGTGCACCCGAAAGATGTATTTTTTTAATGTACATTTTTGTTATCCTAAAGGTCCATACTAAAGATTTTTGCATGTTCCCAGAATGAAATATTGTCCCATGGTACTCATTGGCGGCCATCTTGTCGGCCATCTTGAATTTTTGAAAGAGTTGATGTTAATCATCTCAAAGTATAATAACTTCCACAGTTTTGAGAATTGGAAGCTGTAAGTGGTACCAAAATGAAGCTATTATAGTATCCTATATTATCATATCAGATGCAATAATTATGCAAATTGTCTCATTTGCATAAAATGTGACATCATCAATCATAATTCCTGCCTCTTTACAACGGTATCGCATTATACCTTTCTGCCTGAGTGATCAGTCTTAGTCATTCATGAACATTAATGATTTTAAATATATAGGTACATTAATTTTGAACATATTTGCAATCGAAAGTTTTGGAAAAACATTGTCAGACACATGATTATGTTACTG